GCTTTCCATTCATGTCAAAAAAATTAGGAATTTTTCATAACAAGATATCGTCAAAACGAGATATAGGAAGTAAACAACACCACGGACTGAAGCCCGCTGACAGCCTACTCTATGGCAATATACGCACAGAAACTAACTCGGGCAAAATATTCTTGCTTATTTCCCATTTTCTCCACAAGAATTGGGTCTACGGGATTCAAACTTGTTGGACGTTGTAGCCTGACTAACTAGCTTTCCATATATGTCAAAACAATCAGGAATTTTTCATAACATGATACCGTCAAAACGAGATATAGGAAGTAAACAACACCACGGACTGAAGCCCGCTGACAGCCTACTCTATGGCAATATACGCACAGAAACAAACTCGGGCAAAATATTCTTGCTTATTTCCCATTTTCTCCACAAGAATTGGGTCTACGGGATTCAAACTTGTTGGACGTTGTAGCCTGACTAACTAGCTTTCCATTCATGTCAAAAAAATTAGGAATTTTTCATAACAAGATATCCTCAAAACGAGATATAGGAAGTAAACAACACCACGGACTGAAGCCCGCTGACAGCCTACTCTATGGCAATATACGCACAGAAACAAACTCGGGCAAAATATTCTTGCTTATTTCCCATTTTCTCCACAAGAATTGGGTCTACGGGATTCAAACTTGTTGGACGTTGTAGCCTGACTAACTAGCTTTCCATATATGTCAAAACAATCAGGAATTTTTCATAACATGATACCGTCAAAACGAGATATAGGAAGTAAACAACACCACGGACTGAAGCCCGCTGACAGCCTACTCTATGGCAATATACGCACAGAAACAAACTCGGGCAAAATATTCTTGCTTATGTCCCATTTTCTCCACAAGAATTGGGTCTACGGGATTAAAACTTGTTGGACGTTGTAGCCTGACTAACTAGCTTTTCATACATGTCAAAACGATCAGGAATTTTTCATAACATGATACCGTCAAAACGAGATATAGGAAGTAAACAACACCACGGACTGAAGCCCGCTGACAGCCTACTCTATGGAGATATACGCACAGAAACAAACTCGGGCAAAATATTCTTGCTTATGTCCAATTTTCTCCACAAGTATTGGGTCTACGGGATTCAAACTTGTTGGACGTTGTAGCCTGACTAACTAGCTTTCCATTCATGTCAAAAAAATTAGGAATTTTTCATAACAAGATACCGTCAAAACGAGATATAGGAAGTAAACAACACCACGGACTGAAGCACGCTGACAGCCTACTCTATGGCAATATACGCACAGAAACAAACTCGGGCAAAATATTCTTGCTTATGTCCCATTTTTCTCCACAAGTATTGGGTCTACGGGATTCAAACTTGTTGGACGTTGTAGCCTGACTAACTAGCTTTCCATTCATGTCAAAAAAATTAGGAATTTTTCATAACAAGATACCGTCAAAACGAGATATAGGAAGTAAACAACACCACGGACTGAAGCCCGCTGACAGCCTACTCTATGGCAATATACGCACAGAAACAAACTCGGGCAAAATATTCTTGCTTATTTCCCATTTTCTCCACAAGAATTGGGTCTACGGGATTCAAACTTGTTGGACGTTGTAGCCTGACTAACTAGCTTTGCATACATGTCAAAACAATCAGGAATTTTTCATAACAAGATACCGTCAAAACGAGATATAGGAAGTAAACAACACCACGGACTGAAGCACGCTGACAGCCTAATCTATGGCAATATACGCACAGAAACAAACTCGGGCAAAATATTCTTGCTCATGTCCCATTTTCTCCACAAGAATTGGGTCTACTGGATTCAAACTTGTTGGACGTTGTAGCCTGACTATCTAGCTTTCCATACATGTCAAAACAATCAGGAATTTTTCATAACAAGATACCGTCAAAACGAGATATAGGAAGTAAACAACACCATGGACTGAAGCACGCTGACAGCCTACTCTATGGCAATATACGCACAGAAACAAACTCGGGCAAAATATTCTTGCTGATATCCCATTTTCTCCACAAGAATTGGGTCTACTGGATTCAAACTTCTTGGACGTTGTAGCCTGACTAACTAGCTTTCCATACATGTTAAAACAATCAGGAATATTTCATAACAAGATACCGGCAAAACGAGATATAGGAAGTAAACAACACCACGGAGTGAAGCCCGCTGACTGTCTACTCTATAGCAATATACGCACACAAAGTAACTCAGGCAAAATATTCTTGCTTATGTCCCATTTTCTCCACAAGAATTGGGTCTACGGACTTCAAACTTGTAGGACGTTGTAGCCTGACTAACTAGCTTTCCACATGTCCAAAAAATTAGGAATTTTTCATAACAAGATACCGTCAAGACGAGATATAGTAAGTTAACAACACCACGGAGTGAAGCCCGCTGACAACCTACTCTATGGCAATTTACGCACAGAAACAAACTCGGGCAAATTATTCTTTCTGATGTCCTATTTTCTCCACAAGTATTGGGTCTACGGACTTCAAACTTGTAGGACGTTGTAGCCTGACTAACTAGCTTTCCACATGTCCAAAAAATTAGGAATTTTTCATAACAAGATACCGTCAAGACGAGATATAGTAAGTTAACAACACCACGGAGTGAAGCCCGCTGACAACCTACTCTATGGCAATTTACGCACAGAAACAAACTCGGGCAAATTATTCTTTCTGATGTCCTATTTTCTCCACAAGTTGTGGGTCTACGGACTCCAAACTTGTTGGACGTTGTAGCCTGACTAACTAGCTCTCTATACATGTCACAAAAATCAGGAATTTGTCATAACAAAATACCGTCAAGACGAGATATAGGAAGTATTAGTAAACAACACCACGGAGTGAAGCCCGCTGACAGCCTAGTCTATGGCAATTTACGCACAGAATTTTGAGATTCCTAAGGGGACAAAGGAGAACAAACGGAGATTAGGGTCAAACAATAGTGGTACCCCAATTCCCATAATATGGGGCTAATTGTGTGTGCATGTGTATGTGTGTGTACCTAATGTATATGTTTACTTACACACATGTAGTTGTGAATTTATATATAGGCCTACAATACTCTCGAGGACAATACTTTGTGTGTCCCATTGTCCCTGTAATATGGAACACTCTCCTATAGATGACGCAAAACTACGATGGGATCGAGGACCTTTTTCAACAAAAGACCCAACTCTGGAGGACTGAAAGGGAATTTGTTCTACTTTTGTGTTTGCATCCACGATTGCAAGGCCATGCAAGAGCACCCATCCTTACGGGACAGAAAAAAAAAGAAAAATAGACACCACAAGAAAGTCTTTTGAAATCTACCTTTAAGCTTCTAAGAAGAACGCTATTGAGATTGAGATTTCAATTAGAACACATAACAAAAGACGAGAAACAAGGGTCCTCCGCGCGAGTGTGTACGTACGGATTGCTGTGGGTGCAAACCAACCCAGCTAACTTGGGCAAAGTCTTGGGGACGCAGGCGCTGATCCAGAGGGGGGGGGGGGGGGGGGGGTTGGTGGTAAAAAAAAAATCAGCTCTGTCTAAAAAAATTATTTCCATAGAAATTCCCGAAAAAAGGCGAACCCCCCCCCCCCCCTGCTCCGACACCTAAATTTTTTCCTATTAACAATGTCCGCCTTGCACAAAATACGTACCGATCCAGCTTGGTTATGTACATTATTCTGTGATATAGTGTTACCAATCGTCGGATTTGAACAGTGCCCCAAATGAAAGTATGGTTTCCCCCCCCACCCTCCGGCTTTTTGATTTTACGTCCAAGTGTCCGGAGAAAAAAAAACGTGTCTATATAATTCATATTCTTTTGGCTTGTAAAAACCTCACCCTGCGAAAATATCTGGATCCACCTCGACGGTGGACCAACAATATGGAAATTTCACTCATCTTTTGTTTAGGTGCATGATTTATAAGTGCAATTCGGTAAATTGTAATTCAAGGTAGGCCTATGTACGTTGTATAAAGGTCGATTAATTAAGTGAAGTACAATATTTCCCAACACAAAGGATCTGCAAGCAGCAAAATCAAGGGGATGTCGTCATGCACGAGCAAAAGGAGAAATGACCCCTCACAAGGAAAGCTGCACGCGGTTTTAAAGGAACAAGTTATAGTGCCGGTTCCCATTTTTTCTTCCATCAATGTTCCCAAAACAACCGTTTTTTCGGAATAGGAAGTTGAATGCCTAGATAGGCAAAAACAAAGATAAGTCTCCGGTTTCTGGTATGAAGCTTGCCCAAAAAGTGGTGCGGCGACGCGGCTTTTTTTTTTACCTGCGAATGGTGCCCGACTAAACTTCGTGCAAATATATGGGAGTCCAGAGAGGCCACATAAAGCTTATTCTTGATCATAACCCGTCTAAAAACACGTTAAAGTTGTGCATCAGCAGGATTCCAGTTAAACCAGTGAGTTTGGCGGTTTTGAGACATCATCTTTCATTGAAAAAAAAAACGTGTTCATTTTGCCGACGCGCATGGCTACGGCGACGCGCGCACATACCAGAAACCAGAGACTTTTTTGGCCTGAACGTTTCTAAGTGCGAGAGGGCGCTGTAACAACGACATTTCTGGGCACAAACAGTAGGAAGCTCCCGCCATATTCGGGCCGCCAATTAATGAAGTCTGGTACCTTACTTCAATCTAAAAAAAAAAAAATAGGTTCAACATTTAACAATTTAATTCAATTAGTAATATTTTAATACTTTTACAATTAACAATTTAATTTAATTAGTAATATTTATGTACATTCCAGTATTGTTCACATGTCTATTAATATCCCTCACCGGTTCAAATAAAGCCCATTGTGAAGATGTGTTTGGAAGAAAAAGGCAAATGTGTGTGGTAACGACCTTCAAACCAATGCGAATGTGAAGCGAAATTTGACATCAATAAACATTCTCGTTATCAATTCGTGTACAATTACCCCCTCAACGGTTACAAAGGAAGAGTTGGGGGAGACCACTGGGAGGGACGACGCCTCGCTGACGTTCACGTGAAGACGCTATGGTTTTGTGAACTTTTAGACTAAAAAGAATCGTGAGTACTTCGCGCCCTATATGGGCTCTCGAAAGTGGGCAAAAAGCACCATGATGCATGTTTGTGCACGCGTCCATAATTGGAGAGGCCTCTAAACATTTATGTTGGACAATGTCTAACCCCATATTCGTGTGAATGTTACTCGTTTCGATTTACACAAATTCCTCCTCGTTGGTAGAGCCTCTTAGGTACCTACAATCTTTCAGTCCTTGCAGCATGTCGCCAAGGTCATGAGACTGGGAACCCCTCCCAGCCTGTCCCGGTTGAGTAGACGCCACCAAACTCCGCATCTCGCTAGCCCGTCTGACCTCCTCTATATGCAAGAGTTCATCGACTGCTTGTGAGACACGGCGCTCCCTGGCCATGCTTAAAGCTCCCCTACCGCCTTGGCCGCCGAAGGTGTGAGCCAGGATGTTGGAAGACAAGGGCCCCGTGTGTCTGGCGGGCTCATTGGGGCTAACCAGGGCTGGGATGACACTGCTATGCCGCCGCTGAGTCGCACCGGCGATTGGAGGCAGGTTGACAGAAGAGTACCGTCGGAGATTAGATTGATCGGATCTACTGGTGCTACTCGGTGAGGGAACGGAAGCATGGGTTGCAGCTCCCACTCGCTGGAGTCGACGAGTGTAGTTATCGGATAATAAACCCATAGGTTCGTCGTACGCGCTGAAGCGTCGTCGAGCGGATGAGGGACTCACAACTCCAAGAGATTTTCTACGGAGGAGTTTCGGCGAAGTGGCCGGGGAAGCAGTGACTTTCCCGGCTGGCTTGGTCGTGACGTTTTCATGTGAGAGTGATTTGGGGGATTTCCGGAGTTTGGGTAGATGGCTCTTATTGGTGAATCCGCCATCGCTCGCCGTTTCCCTGAATGACAGATCCAACTTTGGTTTAGGATGACTAGCTGCAACCTGAGAAGAAGTGACGTTTAAGGAATCGGGGCGTCGCGTCGTGGACTTACGATGCGTTTGTTTTGGCCTGGGCGCGATTGGAGGATGTGGCGCTGACCCAGTGGTCCAGTGTGAACTCAAAGTCTCCTGAATTGATTTCTTGGTGGTTGGTTGCGTCCCGGCAGATGAATCAGGGTTATCTTGGATCCCACTGTCAGATTCGTCTTCCTCATTATACCTCTCCTGTTCCCTCTGCAGATCGTGTAAGGCATTTTGGAAGGCGACTGAGCCCGTCTTGTGGCGGATGTCGTTGGAGTGATCTCCGGAAGATCCCCCCTCAAAACCCCATCCCTCGCTACTCTGAAGTGATGTGACGAGAGAGTCTCCCGTATCCTCCATTTTACTCAGAGCCATTGTTCTCATTACAAATCATGATAGTCCGTGGCTTTGGTGGGAAGACACAAAGTAGGCCTTCACATGATGCAAAGAGAGTCGAAACTTTTGACAAACTCAACGGCCTGGTCTCTTTGGGACAAAACGTACAGGGTGTTCAACCACTAAAGTACACATTCATTTCTACTTTGAGTAAGTAAGTTGTAAAACACACGACAAGTAGGACAAAACCTTCCATTAGAGGACTTCCATAAAAGTCACAAGTCCGTTCGAAATGTGCGTCTCAAGAAACTGCTGACATAGTTCAGACCAGATCTCCAAAACATCGATGGACAAAATGAAATCGTATTATTTATCCAAAGAGAATATTCAGCACCAATTGCTGACTGCCCACTATGTCCATCGAGGTGTGCCAAACACATCACTTCGTGAAAGACAAAATCTTGGCAACCGTCAAAAGGCCCAGCGGTGATAGATGAAGTTTGAACTGTATTGGTATCGCTCGTACTGGGCTATCGATAACCTAGTTTGCACTGCGGACAGTGTACGCAAACTTGGACTATGCTGATAAGATTGGCTTTTAGTTCTTTCATCGATGAATGATTAATGGCATTCGAGTCCATTGCAAATATTAAGTGACGGTTGAACCCAATGGGTATTCAATTGTCGATGACTGTCCACAAAATGGAAGGTGTTTAGGGCCTCCACGTAGTAGGCCTAAAGGTGTGTGTGGCCAGAGATATATTATGACTCGCACAAGAGGAAACTTTTAGCTGCGGATATCCTTTATCTTTACATGACTTTTCCTGTTTCATTTCTCCAGGACTCAAGGATCCAAAAACTCTGTGTTTCGAACAGACAAAGAAAATTCTTTAATAAATGCCAATAAATGGCAGTTAAACTGCGATTAACCCTAGTGGTCATGATTTTTCCAAATTGAATATGATTTATCGCACGCATACAAGTGTATATTTGCATAATCGGGGATCCCCTATTGTCCCTCTTGTTTTGGTACTTTTTGGAAGACCTCCCATATGTTTTGTACACATCGCCAAATATGGGACCTTCGGGAATTGGGGACCCTATTGTCCTCTATTGTTCAACGCCTCCTATTGAATACAGAAACAAACTCATACGGTGTTATAGGATTAACTGCATACACAACTGCAAACGGAAAAAAAGTTTATCTCATACAACTACATGTACGTGTACTTGCGAAATGCTAACAATGAAATCTGTGCTGAAAATAGAGTATACAAATCAGTTGACTAGCTGGATACTGATAAGTGTCAGTACAAGATGAATGAGATGGCATGTCAGAGATATCCTTATGCAGCTCTGTTCGGGAAAACGATGAAAAGGGCGTGAAAAGGTATTCCATGATAAGAGCCATTGGCAATCGAAATCTGTTATTTTCTCATAAAATTTTATCAAGATAATAATACACATGTTGGCCCGTGTTATAACAATCGACTCTTGAGGTAAGAGGTGAGTTGCGCAGAAAGGACTGTTATCAACGCCGAGCTACTGTCGTGCCGAATCTCAAATTTGGCCCTGTTGATAGTTCGGCACGGCGCGCCGATAGCGTTTAAAACCATTTTGCTCGGCAAATTGAGTTCGGCACAGCACCACTCGTCGGCTCAACAGGGTGATATCGTCCTTGCGAACAGCAGCACGGCAAATGTCATATGTCATTGCCGTGCCGAACTCAATTCAATTGCCAAGGCTTTTTCTTGACGTACATTTTGCATGCAAGCAATTAATTATTTTGTGCCCACTTGCACATGACATGTTAATGTTAATTTTTCCAACTTGTATAATTTTGTGGGCGTGTTTTGGAGCCGAACTAAAGGACGCATTCCTGTCGAAAGATATATAGAGTCCTTCAAATAATAGCTGGCGCAAAAACATTCTATAATCAAGCTAATGGTCGATTTGTATAATTATGGCTTGAGTAGCCATTATAGGTCATGTGCCAGATTTGTGGAAAAAAGTGACTTCCTTTAAAAATGCGAATTTCAAAACACATTGAACAGAAAGCTCAATCGTCGTGCAAAAGGGTACAAAGAAAACCCAAACTGAGTGATTTGACTCATTATCGTAGTAAATAAGTGATTTTGTCCGTCTAGTGACACACTAATTTGAGCCATATTGTGTAAAGTACACAGAACAAAAAGTCTCATTTTGTTACGATATTGAGTAAAATTACTCACTTTGGGTTTCTGTGTATGTTGCTAATAATATGGGAATTGCAGTGACGTCATGGTGACGTCATCCATATTTGTTTACTTTCTCCATTTTTTTCTTTATCACCGAGTTCCCTTAAAAATATTAAGCCATAAAATAAATCAACAAATGAGGCCATATTAAAGTCATATGCAATTCTTAAATTATTCATATTTCCCCAAAAGATGCAACAATTAAGTTTTATATTTTTTGACAACATTATCGTCATTTACGACCTATGAAATACGATAATCGTGTAGTTTATGACCGTTTCTTGCTTTACAAGTTCTGTGTGTCGATCGAAACTTGCTTTTCTCGCCTAATTCTTCATTGACTGTTTTCCTTTAAAATTCATGTACGATACACATCCCACCTAAAGGGTCTAAAGAGTGTTATCAAACTCCTATGCCCAAGTGTTTCTCAGCACTCGATGTTTTCAGTAACCAAACATTTGTGTTCACAACTTGAGCAGAAAAGAGTGTGCGCCTAAAATTAAGTGACATTAAAATGCGCCCTCAGTTGTCAGAAAAGGCGTAAAGTATTCTTACTAATTGTTTGAAAAAGTGGACTTTAAGGCCAAAAAAGTCTCCGCTTACTGGTAGGCGCGCGCGTCGCCGTAGCCATGCGCGTCGACAAAATGAAAAAAGGGTGTTTTTTTTTCAGTGAAAGATGATATCTCAAAACCGCCAAACTCACTAGTTTGATTAAAATCCTGCTGCTGCACAATTTTAACGTGTTTTAGATGGGGTTACGATCGAGAATAAGCTTTATGTGGCCTCTCTGGAATCCCATATATTTGCACTAAGTTTAGTCGGGCACCATTTGCAGTCATCAGCTGACATTTGAAGAAAAAAACCAATAAAAAAAAGCCGCGTCATAGCAACACTTTTTGGGCAAGCTCCATACCAGAAACCGGATACTTTTTTGGCCTAATAGGCCCTACACAAATTTCAACCAAAACGGGAAATTTCAGTTTTCATACATTGATATTGGGGTAACAAACATTTGCACCGAATGAGTTTCATTTGTCCATCTCAACCAATTAACCTCGCGTCCCCAGCGGGCTAGCTAATTTATCTAACTTCGTTTACATACTAGGCCCTGAGATGGGAACTCCTTATTAATCGTGCTCCGATTGGACAGTGACACTATACGGTACAGATCTTCCATATATTGACAACTTTGGTTGCAATGTAAACCACCGTCCATCAGCCCATATATCTCTTTAAAGGAAACATGCAGTGGAAAGATAGCTCATCGTGTTTTTATGCACATTACTCTGTCTTGCAACAACACATACTAGATCTTAATACTTGTTTTCATTGGAAATGAAAAGGTTTTCAAAAATGTTTTATTCTTATAAATAAAACATGACATTCATAATTAACAACATTTTAGCAAAAAAGAAAAGATTATTTCATCTATTTACAAATGTATTTACAAAATGAGTTAAGAAATGAAAAGAAAGTGGTAGTTTTATGAGCAAATAATTTCATCGGTACATTATGTAAATAGAGGGCGCGCTATTTTGCTTTTGTCACACAAGGTATACTCCTTGTCAAAATTGCAAATGAACAAGTACAAAATTAGTCCTTCAAAATTACAACCCCCAACAAAGATATGAAGAAATATTGGCCACTACTATAATTGTCCAAACAAGCTGTTTAACATGAATAAGAAGTACAAAGTGGAACAATTACTCCAAGAAAAGGAAGAAAACTTTGATATTTATTTGCACACAAAGCTATGGAGACACTACTGTTCTGCATTGAATGACATCACGCTTTGGCTCATGAATCTGGAAATTTTCATTAGCATAAAAACTAAAAATGTTGAAATTTCACCCTTTTACTGCTATAAAGGAGGTAGAAAGTCATAGTTACATCATTGGCAGGAAAAATTGTTTATGCCTTTCAGCCATCGTGTTCCCTTTAATAGATTAATACCATTCATAAGATTCTCAATGCCGCTATAGTCCCTCGAGATCTCAAAATGAAGCTTATTTGCTTGCTTGTTTATCCGAAAAAAAATCCAAATCGACTTACAATTGTGAGTACTTTATATCGGTATCCCCTACGTTATTTTACATGAATTACAGAACCTGTTTTAAAGGGCACAGTCACTGCACAGCATTTTTATTCTGGATTGTTGCCTCGACGCAATAGGGCAAATCCTATAGGCGCTATAGCCTACTCGAGAGCTACCAAGGCTTACCGAAAGTTAGCCCCATAAATGTGGCCAATTTACTGGACTACCTCCGTAAATAACGGCCACACTTCCACCATGTACAAAAACATGTCGAACTTTGCTAAATTTTGATTTTCACATTTAGGCTTAGTTTGTAATTAATTTTTGCTTTAGAAGCATTCGTTGGCACACGTTTGCGTATCCAAATTTCAACATGAAATTCCACGAAAATTAGACATCGGAAAAAGGAAGCACTTTCTGCTTAGCCTATACAGAGAGTGAGTACGCTTCTAAAGCAAAACAACTACAAACTAAGCCTAAATGTGAAAATCAAAATTTGACAAAGTTCGACATGTTTTTGTACATGGTGGTAGTGTGGCCTTTGTTTACGGAGGTAGTCAGCAAATTGGCCAAATTTATGGGGCTAACCGAAAGTAAAACATAGGCCTATGTTTTACCCAGAGGCATAAAACAAACCTTCCTCAAACCCTGGCGAGTCCTATGCACAAATGTATTTTTATTGGAATTTTCTTACCTTGAATTCCGGTATTGACCTTGTGGCGCATTGAAGCCTGAATATGCTGAAGCAACATTAACTTGTCCCATGCATGATGGAGGCTGACTGGGTTCGACGCACATTTTCTCGGAGCATCATGTGTATTTCTGAGGCTTCCAGTCTAGATGGGTCCATCACTGGCGCTGAAGTTGGGCATGCTGCAGGCACTGGGGCAATTGACAGAATGTGAAGTGCCCATAAACTGTATGGAGAACAGCAGGAGAACTTGCAGTCGATGCAACTTTGGCCATGTCTTTGGCCTAGCTCGCACTGATTGTCAAATAATTCCATTGGATTTGAAGACATTTGAGACAACCAAAATATGGTCACAGTCAGAGTTCCAAGATTATCAATCCACTCAAATGATGACTGTCAATTAATTCCACTGGACTTGAAAATAGGAGGCAAAAACTAAACAACTAAAAAGAAACTCCAGCTGTTTCACAGACGTAGACAAATGCTTGCTCAAAATGCAGTACAGTACACGTACGTACGTAAACGTTAACACACATGTCATGCACATGCATTGTACCTACTGCCAGCGCATATCATTAGTGCTTCAATCTTTCGTCTGATTGGTCAAAACTCTTGGCTATGATTGGCCAAACTCTTGGCTGTGATTGGTCAAAACTATGAATAATTAGTGCTAGGATCCTGCTCAGGATCCCAACTTATGCAATACCCCAAGTTTTTAAGTGCTTTAATTGCCACAGAGGGGGCAGATTGAGTGTGAAAACGGAGCAAATATGCCAACAATTATGAAAGCTGTCGGAGACAGCATACTAAACAAACTTAACTGTAAAATAAACTAATTTAAACCACTAGAAGCATTAGAACTCTGTCTGCCATGTAATAAGGATTGAATCAAAACTTTATGGACATTTTGACATGCATTGTGATAAGATGAATAATTACAAGTATGCAGATGCACTTTCAATAGTTTCACCACGCATAATTAGGCCAAGTAAAAATAAAATATAGTTTCACCACGTATAATTAGGCCAAGTAAAAAAAAAAAAAAAAAATATGGTCCGGCCTTTTTGAAAAAAAAAGGAAGGATGCCCTGTTTTCCCTCCAAAATAGCCAACCGACCGGGCTATACTTCATTAAATGGCTGCCACTTGGACTCAGGAAATGACATACCAGCTGAACCTGATCGTCCCCAGTGCTCACTTCATTTCCAACCTCGTTTCCAATAGTGAGAGAGCAGGTAGTGGTGGGCGCGGACGTACCGCTCCACACCCTGGGGATGAGGTTGAAACCAGTTTTATATGAGCTAGATGCAACAGACAAAGAGCTAAAATGATGTCACTGATAACATTTATCATTTTGTTTTGGTTACAAAAAAAGTGGCGGCCTCCAAAAAGGAAGCGCGCGGGGACGCTTAACATGTTTTGGGTTTTCTGGGGGGGGGTCTTAGGTCACTGTAACTTTATTTATTTAAACCCATTGGACTCATATCATGTACATGCAGGCCCAGTATGTACAGACAGCAACACCGAGGCCAACTTGCAATGCACCAAAGAGACTTTGCTAGACAAGAACGAATTGTGAATTTCGGTATAACCACAAGATTTGTTTGCGCCAGAACACATCTTGCACAGGGACCTTAATTTGCATATAGTGTCAAAAATGAATTATTATACAAAAGACCAGTACCAGGGGCCAAGTTTATTATGCACAAAATTTGCTTCAGCCCAAAAAAAATTGTTTAATTTAATCAGGTTACCCGCCAAATTTCCATATTTTTATACTAAGTAAACAACAGATAAATACCAGTACAAGCAATGTACATCGCATGGAGTTTGGGATGGTAACCTGATTATTAAGCAAGGTTGATTTTATTGTGCTTAAACAAATTTTGTGCTTAAGCATAGAGAAATTGACCCCTGGGTGAGAGGGCAGTTGGAACGTTTTTGCACGACACCCTGGGAACGAGGTTGCATCCCAACATTACCAAAAACACACAAACAAATAGGCTGACAATACATAACCAATTAACTGTTATCATTAGAATGTTTTATTTGAATTTTAAACTAATTTGCACATTCACACAATCTGCATGCCATTTTCATCTAAATAAATACTTGCGTGTACATGTATTAATATTGGAACAAAAATTTGTAAAAAGTATAATCGTCATTTCCATTGCTGTTGTACTGAATCCTTAAACTCTCATCAAGCACATTTTCGATAATTCCACTTGAAATACATGCATGCAGGCTAAGTATTACTGAGTCATAATAAAATATAAGTTGTTGCATAAATCAAATCAAAACAGGCATACATTACAATATATTGCACAAAATTAGTTAGATTTGCATCAAAAATATTTGTACAGGGTTTGAAAACAAAAAACTTTGATCAACCATATTTCTAACTCCTTTCAATAACATTTCTATATAACAATACACTTCTATTTATCAACATAGCCTGACAAACATATTTTCACAAGAATCACAGTTTTTCTTGAATATACAAACTGGCAGGAGAATTATCTTAAAATACTAATTGGTTATTGACCGTTTCTCCCTGGGTATTTTGCGGGGACATAAATGCGGTCCAAGTTGCAGGTGTGTATCTCACTGGAGGGGGCACTCTGTATATTTTAACCCAATTATGTATTTTACTCACTGAAGCATCCTTGAAATCACTGAACACCCAGCATTTTTAGGTGCTACAGGGAGTAACAGGCAGGGCATGTTATGTGTCTTACAAGTAGTAACGGGTTAAAGGATAAAAGGGTATTTTCCCCCTTCCCCAAATTCTGAGTAGGGGAACATTGGGAGAGTAGTGCATCAAATTTTGGGGTCTAGGGGACAAAATCACGGGCACTGCTAGACCAATTTGAATGGGGGGGGGGGGGAGGGTGACCACAAATTGACAATCCACATCAATATCTGACGCGTAAGGTGGTGCTATTCAGTGGCGTAGCCATTGTGTGTGGAGGGGTTAAGGGGGTATTTACCCCCCAATATTTTGTATAGACTCCCCTTTTCATTGAAGTGCCCTTTTTTCACCACTGTTTCCCTCCACCCCAATATTTGCGAAGCGTGGCTTTTTTTTTAAACGAGTGCCCTTTCTATTTTAAACAAGTGCTCTTTTTATCAGGAAGTGCCCTTTAAAAAAAAAAGATGCCTTTTTTTACAAGCGGCCTTTTACAAGTGCCCTTTTGGGAATTTTACGTGACCATCGGCCATTGTGTCGCCCCTGAAAAGTGGCATCTATTGTCCAACAGTTTGCATGATTGTCCGGTTTGCACAGCGGCCCCATTGAAAGCTGGTACCTGCCCCCCCCCCCCAACACACACTATTTGATTTTACGGAGGAAAAAAAACTGTTTACATTTCAGCACAGATGCAGGAGTGCCCTTTTCAAAAACATTTTAACTCCCCCACCCCCACATAAAATGACCTAATTGTTACGCCTCTGCTATTCCTTGTACCATATTTGCTGATGGACTAAATAAATACATGATAGAATTCTTGAAGTGCTTGCGCTTTCTTTTCCTCAAAAATACTGCAAGTAAAACTTGCGCAATCCCCCTGGCATCCTGGCAGTTTGTAAAACTATACAGACAGCTAGTAACATGAAGAGTCATTAATAGTAGACCTACTACTGACATATGTTCGAGACATTAGTAATACTACTGGAGCTGAGCTCTTGAGAGAACTCGTAAATATCTATATTGGAAAGGATTTTTTTTTGACGCCGGTGTAGCGTGAATTTACGTTTCTATGAAATTCGGACTCATTGGTAATATCGCGCATGCGTAAGTATGGTAATTAGGAAAGTGACCGGTCACGTGAGAGGGATTAACCAATAATAGGGAAAAGGGGTCAGATTTTCATAGGAGTCGGATTTTCATGTGACACCGGCCTTCTTTCCACATGGGGTCCCTAGGACCAGGGCCTGGCCTGTCAGGACCTGTTGCCCGAGTCTAATCACTTGACCAGATACCATTAGCAATGACCACATATCAAGTTGGTTGAGATTTATGACGGTACTTTCAGTTGACCTCTCTGCCTTTCAGCAATACATACGCACGCACACCCAGTCGTGCTTTACAATACGCCTGAGGACAACCTATTGTGTTTCCCTTTGTCCCTGTACTTTAACACTTTCCCATAGACTAAGCACGTAAATGTACAATCGAGAACAGTTTCGAACAAAAGCACCGTCGTTCGAGGACTGAAAGGATCTTTTGTTATCCTTTTGTGGGTCTGTCCTCAAGCGTAATACAAGACAGAAACACACGCCCATGTTTGTTTTACATATGCTATGTGAACATTCCTTTGTTTTCGTGTAGTTAAGAAAACTCGGTACAAAAAATAACTTTACTTAAATTGTGGAAACTCTTTCAACCCATTTTTTTTTCTATGATTCCCTATAGTGTTTCTCTTCATTCTGCTACGAATAAACCTAACCCAAAAATGCCTCTCAACCTGTTTTCCAGAGAGGGCAAAACGTTATGTGGACTCGGCTTAGTCCACATAACGTCAACACAACCTGCATTATGTGGACATCTTTTGTTCACAAGTCCACATAGTGAATGTAAGACAAACTCGCGTTTGTTTGTGGTGTAAATCAAGGATTTTCTATAGTTCCTCTTCCCTTTGTTATACTTGAAGCAACTCTCATTGGTTTTGTACCAGTTTTCCAACTGAGGAGTCCTCAATTTGGTTTCTGTCCTCGATTAGTTGATGATGTTGCACGTGTGTGTCCTCGATTTACAACATAAAAAAAATGCACATATGTACACACACACACGGACACACACAAGGAATATGCGATCATGTCTGCCACAAAAAAAGAGGAAATTCAAATTTTGTAAGACTTTGTGCAGTCTTTTTCTATTTTTTATGGCATGCATGGGAAGTTAAAAAAGAGGAAATCAGCAGATCCGAGGAAAAGTTGCATGCCTGTGTCTGCAAGCCAGGAGGATAAGAAAAGGTATAAGTTCCCCTGCCCCCTTGAATCTGGTGGGAAGCAAAGACCTAGAGTAGGTTGGGGGTGCCCCCCCCCCCCCCCCCAAACAGTCCACCTTAGACCACTGGGAGTCCCTCATGTCTTTGTTTTGTTCACTTGGGGCTGCCCTGGTCTTGCCTCATGTCGTACTTCTTGGCCTTCACTCGGTAGAATTTGGTCCCGATGGCCACCTTGAAGCGGTTGTTGGCCTGAAAAATTAACAATTGCCGTAGAGAATGATTATCTGTGGGCAATTAATCAGGCATGCAACTGGGAAGTCACACAAAAAAGAGGAAATTCACATTTTTACAAGACTTTGTACAGTGTTGTTCTATTTTCAATGGCACACTTGGGAAGTACAAAAAGAGGAAATCAGCTGATCCGAGGAAAAGTTGCATGCCTGATTAATAAAACCAAATGTGAACTGCGGTCCATTGGTATTGGTGTCCCACCCATGTGTGATGGTGCATGGGTTCGAGCCCCGACGGATCCATGGTGCTTGTGTTCTTAGGCTTCCACTTTTGCAAGATCAGAAGAAAACTGGTCAGAATGTAAATTCAGCCATGTGACATGTGTATGGGCATCAGCTATCCAGAATTTGTTTCTGCATTCAGTAGGGGGCGTTGAACAAAAGAGAACAATAGAGTTCCCAATTTCCCAAAGTTCTCCAATTTACGATCAAGTACAAAACATGTGGGAGGTCTTCCTCAAGAGTTACATTACAAACAAAAGAGGGACAATAGGGGGTCGCCGACTGCAGGAAATACACACTTCTGTGTATTTGTGACCACAAATTCGTAGCCTTGTGGAGACTCACACACAATACGGAACAAAACATTGTAAAGGTCTCCACAGGGCAATTTCTATAGATGAATAGGTCTCCACAAGGGTTTTCACGAAATAGATATATGGGTTTTACTCAAAAACTAGGAATTTCCAAGGTGGGTTGATCTGTCGCAAATGGAAGAGTTTTAGAAAAGGGATATTGATTCCAAATTTCAGCCAAGGAAACTAATTCTGGTTAAAATAAGAGCATTTTGAAAATTCACTTTCAAAAATGAACACTTTACTACACGAGAACAAAGAAATGTCTCCACAAGGATACAAATTTTGGAATGTGTGTAGAGATCAGTGGGGCAAGCCTATTGTCTGCATGGCACTCGTCTTGCTGACTTACTATGATTTGTGAGCCAGGCAGTGCTATTTTACAGGATAACCCCGTAATGTCAATGAATGGGCTAAATCGTGCCCATTGTGTAGACCAGATGCAAGATAAGACTTCCAGTGAATAGCCAATCTCTGAATCAAATGAATAGAAATGTTTGCACTCTGGAATCAGCTTTACGTATCTTGTCCTTTTTTTCTCCAATCTGTGCGAAACTCACCTTTTTTGCCTGGCAGTACTCCTTGTCTGTTACCCTTCCAATAATCCACTGTCTGTATAAATAGACAAAAAAGCAGTTTTTTTTTTTATTTATATTTTTGCCCTGTAATGTGCATTACAGTTGTAATGTCAACATAAACAACATATGTGATGTGATCAAGCTAAATGAGTCGTTTGTCGACCCGGTTCAAAAAAAAAAAATTATTACAGATTTGAAAGGAGCACAATCGCAGCATCACTGCTATGAAAACCGCATGCTGATACCATCTTTAGTTAAAAAAAAAATTATGGAAGTCGGAGCACTAGGAAATGTGATGAAGTGATGTGATGAAGTGGCCCTATTTTGGCCTGTATCTCCAAATGAAAATTCCCGACAAACGACTAACGTAGCTTGATCGCATCACATATTTTGTTTCTTTTTTCCCCAGAAGGAAATCAGCTGATCACCGTGTGGTATTGTCAAAAAATGTGTTACATCGGTTTGTAGTTTACAAACAATTTAACGCACTGTAATGGCTCCGTGCACTAGTACCCCTCAACGGTCAGAAAGGGCGAGTTGGGGGAGACCACTGGGAGAGACACTCAAATGCATTGCTGACGACGCCTGAAACTCATGGGAAGATGCTATTACTTCAGAAGAAAATACATAGTGCGGTCAAGTTCCGAATAAGACTATTGGTCCCTCCAACTGGAGCTCTCATGAGGAGTGACAAAGCGCCCTCTAATGGGGCAAATTTCATGTCGCTGTTTAACAGTTACCGGAAAAGTGAACTAAAGCAGAAAAATAAGTTAACCTTAAGCACTATTTCACGGTGTTTATGAACGGTTGCGCACATGGAGATGTTTATTGTTACATCATCGACTTAACCAGTTCGTGCCGGATGACATGTATACCCGCAAAGGTTTTGCGGTATTCCGAACAGATGACGGATGATGAATAAACACAAGGCTTGAAAATATGTAAGCGACCCGCTCGCAGCAAGCAAGGCCGGAAATACGAGTGTGCTGCCCAAGGGTGATGGCTTCAACCCGCCTGGCTTGAGGTTGAGTGAAAAGTAATCCTGCACCTTGTTCCGTTCTTGTCAAAATAATCCCGGCATGAACTGGTTAAGGAACTTTTTCCTCCAAGGCAAGCGTGCCTTTTGCTGTGCTTATACTGCTCCATGAAATAGACAGAGGCTGTGTCAACAGAAAAACAGTGTTGTAGTACCTGTACTTGGTACTCGTACTCGAGTGCTATTCGAATACTTGTTTTAGAGTATTCGTACTCGTACTTCAAATAAATATCAAAGTACTCGTACTCTGGCAGCAAAATAATCGTACTTAACATGTCGAAATTGTACTCGATCATCAAAGTACCCATACTCGAATAGCAATGCTCTCCAAAAAATATGCTTTAGCTTGACTAATACCAAGGCCTTATCTTATCGATACTTGCAGTTTGAAATGGTTGATTGGCTTACGGAGAAATCAAAGTTTCCTGATTTTCATCTAAGTACGTCCGGACAAACACATTTAACAGCTAGCCTACATTGGGTCTGTATATCGGTCTGACTGGGCCTGGGCCAAATAGGCACAATGAACCATTTGCCATATGGCTGTATTCCGAAATAGAAGTACTCATACTCGGAGGTACAAGTACTTGTTCTCGTACTTGGCAACCTAAGTACTCGGCAGTACTCGGTATTCGGGAAGAAAGTACCCCACTACAACACTGCAGAAAAACTTGGGCTTAGCTAGCACCAAGGCATTGGGCCTGTATAGCCAGTGTACCTTTTTGGGCCTGCTGAACCATGGTGTTTAAGATCCAACCCAGCGAGTGACTCCGAGTGGACGAAGTAGAGTGTCGGCTCGATGCTGAAGACGACGTAGTTGTCCCTTGGTTCCTCAAAGAATATTAACACTAGGTCTCCCACACTTATGCTGAAGAAAAAACAGCAAACGCCGATTACTTAAACCTACCTTTGTTTGATCAGTTGCAGTTGTTTATGCTTAGACCAAACAAACCAAAATCTCCCGTTTCTAGTATGGAGATTGGCCCAACAGTTTTCTTCCCTATTTTTTTTTCTTCAAAATGTCGGCTGATATTGCAGATGACGCTTCATTCCCTTATTTTCAAAAAAGTTTCCTTCAGGGTGGAGCTTGAGGTGACCTCAGTAAGGCCTAAGGCCTGAGAATTCTGCACCCACTTATGATCTTGACCGACATGGACTTTCTTCTGGAAATTTGGTTAGTCAAAACAAAGATCAGAGAAATACACAAAAAATACCAGCGACATCAACATCGTGCATGTGCTGTCAAGGCTGGTCATTAGTCTGCTCCCTTACATATTGCGCTAATTAAAAGCGTTTACAGGTTCCAGATACACAACCATTGCTCCCTCAGTCTGGCTTCCAGACACACAATTACAAAATTACAACACCATCTGCAAATGGTACCCGACTAAATTTAGTGCAAAATATATGGGAGCCCAAAGAGGCTGAATAAAGCTTATAGCCTATTCGATCGTAACCCTATCTAAAAACATGTTAAAACTGTGCAGAAGCAGGATTCCAGTCAAACCAGTGAGTTTGGCGCTTTTGAGACATCATCTGACATTGGAAACCTTTTTTTAGTAATTTTGCCAACGGCACGGCTACGGCGATGCAGGCACAGACCAGAAACCGGAGACTTTTTTTTTTTTGGCCTAACCTTCAAAATTGGTTGAAAGGTCTGAAAGATTCATTCGTTCTACACTAATCACGTCTCTCGTTCGGATTCAAGAAGTCTGATTTTAGACTAAAAGTCTGAAAAATCTCATGCCTGACTTACTCTATAATAGATATTTTTTCTGCCCTTGACGCAGAACCTGGCGATACTCTTAACTGCATCTGAAAAAAAAAAGGCATGGAATAATTTTATCATTCGATTCACGATCATTTCGTTTTTGTGATTTCAGGTTTGGGGCATTGGTTGGACCAGAGTAACTATTTGCATACACCATACAGATAAGGTTGAAGTACAGGTTTTTGCTTGTACCTGAACTGGGCACAAATGAGCTAAGGTAAGGTAAAGATCATTTTATTGGCAACCTTTAAAGGGTTCGTTTCTTTAAAATTTACAACGTCTAAAAGTGACAAAATACATCATATTAACTTTTAAACAAATAATTAACTTGTACAATTAAAAATGAAACTAAGATTGGTGTAATTAAAACATTTAAATATGGCTGGTTATATTACAAGATAAAATTGATTTTGAACGGTCAAAACTATTCTTCTTCTTCATTCATTCATTTTCATGATGACTTGATGAGTTGGGCCCAACTGTCCCTGTCGAGCATAGTGTTGGAAAGAGATGGACCACTCAGACCAGTTTCTAGCTCGATGGATGTTTTCAGGGTAATGTTGGGCCGACCTTTTATTGAAACTATTAAAATATGCCATTATACTAGTATACAGTCAAAGTCGTTTTAATAATTTTTAATAATTTTAATTTACCTAATTTAGAACAACAACAACATGACAAGCAGCAACCGTACAAAATTCAAAAAGGACAAACAAACAAACAATTACAATTAAAAACAGCAACTGACAAACAACCAAAACAGGAAAGACAATCAAACAAACTAACCAAACAAACATGTAGACACCCCAACAAACAAACAGACAGACTGACAGGAAGCCAACAAAGAAACACACCTCCATGAACTGACACGACATCAGTCACACACTAAGCAAGTCACACACTACGCAAGCTGAGAATTACCACAGATGTGAACATGTTACTAGAAACAGGCAAAAGAACATTTTACCATTGTAAATTGCACTGGAAGTAGTGTCCATTAAACCCTAACCACCCTGAATCCTTCAAAATCCTCTTTGCCAAAGTGGACGAATTTGGAGGTTACATGGCAAAAGTTCTTTACTAATTTCGTAGGATGCACTTTGTCAAGGTCTTGGGCCGGACCTTGTGTTGTTTTTGCTCAGCCATGCATAAATATAGGCCTGGATTATGCTTGAAATCCTTCGTACTGCTCCAGGATATCACTGGCCAAGCCTCAACATACTGACAGTCACTGCCGCAGGATTTTGTAGGATTCAGGTAGTGGTCACCCCTCCACAGATCATATTCAAGAAATAATGGAGGAATTTGCAGGATTGAGGCTACATGCTACATGGATTTTTCCATTAGGCCAATTGGAGGATTTTGCAGGATTGAGGCTACATCCTATCAAAAAGGCCTAGGGAGTTAGGTTTAAAGGGAAAATACAACATTTGCAAACATCAAAAAATAAAACTACCAAATCATTTTGAAATACCTTGCTGGACTGTTAGTGAATGATAGTGTAAAGCATCCTGTAAAATCATGGCACCTGGTATACTGTCATTTTCAAGAAAAGTGGTATATTTGTATCAATTTCCAACGCTGGTCAGCCGACCAGTGTTGGAAAAAACTGGCTTTTTTCAAATACTGGCCCCAATTGCCAATCGCGCTTGTTTGCAATCGATTACACACCTATGAACAGGTACAAGCCAGCTAGACTGGTTCCCTTCTTCTTAAATGGAGTCAGGGAACCAGACTACAGGCAAATGATTGTTTTTCTTGGTTTTTATAGCATTTTCGAACCCAAAACCTCAAAAAAGTCAGTGTAACTATATTTGCTATATATTTAGAACCCCCATTTCCATCCATTTCTGAAAATTACAGCAAAAGCAAATGATGTATATTCCCTTTAATACGTTCTGCCACAGTTGTAAAAGTGCATGACAGGAAGACTCTATTACGGCAAAATGGCAAAAAAACAATATTTAAAAAAAAAAGAGAACAAAAATTGCATCTCACCACTTGATGTTTGAGGGCGTTGCATTCTTGTTCCTTCGCTTTCAACAACGCTTGGAGCCTGCCCTCTGTAGCCGAAGCGGTCTTCATGGTATCCCTTAAACACAAAACGAAAACAATTCAATTGATCTTAATTTTTTTTGTACCTTCCTTCAGACGTCATGGCCTTTTTATACATGGTTAGTGAACCCGGTAAACAGCAGAAAAGAGAAAATTGGCAAAACGGTTCATGGCGAGTGCACTGGCCAGCTCCAGCTGTGGAGTCACCCAAAAGAGCAATCCCCCTTTTGGCCATTGTGTAAGGCAAATACATCATAGCTGGACCTGGTGGATTAGCGTGGACTTATCTGCAGCTTGGCCAATGAAGTCCAGTGATCTAGGTGCTACTTTGTTAGACAAAACCTCACCAGTAATTTATTCATTTGTTAACCCTAACAGAGCTCAATCCATCAAACCCCAACGGCATGTTTTGCTGGAATCTGTCAGGATGGGTACAGTACCCCTAAACTGACAGTCTTTTACATTGGGTTGGCACACCTCCAGAATCAAAGTTGGAAATACGTGTGTCCAGTTTCCCATATGGTGTTTAAATTTGCCAGGATGGGTATGGTTCTTAAGGAATCATGCTAGGGAGTTAGGGTTAATACAGTCGACTCTCGTTAGTACAAACTCTGTTAAAACAAATTTCTGTTTATAACAAACATAAAGCCTTAGTCCCGACTGTGCATTTATGTGCACAATGAATGGGACTGATGTTCCTCTTTAATACAAAATTCTGATATAATAAACAATTTGGCTAGGTCTGAACGAATGTGTATTAACGAGACTCGACTGTACATACATTTATTTCTATATTGCTGACAAGTGATTCCTTTGTTTGCCACTTGTGGGGTGTGTAGGACCCAAGCCATCTGGTGGTCTTGCCAAAAGGCCAAAACGGTTCAATTCGAAGCCCTCGAACAGTCTAAAGAGCTTTAATATTTGAATGCCGTGAACGGTTCACTAACCATTTCTACATGGCCACGGTGCCTCACAGAGAGGAGAATAGGGCTCCGTCAAGACCCGGCCTTCATCCAGAACGGGAAGTCCTATGAACCCTAACCCTGCCAGACGCAACACAGTGCATCAGGTGTAAAAAGTATGTGTGACCTTGCTGCACAAAGCCATCAACCCCGGAGCATAGACGGCAAATTCCGAGACAATGAGACCTAGTCCCATTGAACAATGCCACAATTGTATCCTGCTGCAGTTGGTGACCACAGACTCTGAGGCAGTTTGGCCTTGAGACTTTTGACCTGATGGCTCTTGCTACACTGGGCAGGCTTGTCACTTTAGTGAAGAGTGTTGCATGTTGCTGCGTTTAGCAGGCTTTCTAGCGAAAACAACCCTGGGGGTTTGGGATAGAATGGGAAAACTATCATGCTTGATATCAACTGTTTTAGAGCGGAGCCCATATACTCACCGTTCACTGGAAACCAATAACTGAGCAGGGCTGGCGTTCTTGCTTTCTGCTACCTGAAGCTTCTGCTGAAGGTCAGCCAGTTCAGTGTCTCTGCTCAGGAGAGACTCTCGTAGGCTCTTCTGGGACTCTCGCGCCTCGTGCAGAGCTTTTGTCATTTCGGCGTCCAGGTCACCTTTGTCAGCAAGTAATTTCTCAATAGAATCTGTGAGAAAACAAATATTATATAATACTTTACAAGATAATATTATATTCATACTTTTTAGTTTTACACAATACTATCTTACATAATACTATATACATGGCCATGTAGTATTATATAATACTTTAGTTAGTATTTCACTACTACTAGTTTTACGCAATACTATCTTTTTTCACGCAATACATGTACAATCTTGGTCCATATTTAGTGGAAATCATCTTTAAACTACAAGCCTGCGGAGACACTTCAAACTATGACCTATGACTGTACCTTGATTGCGAGTTTGTTGATCCCTTAGCTCTGCCACAGACTTCCTGAGCTCTTCGATAGTCCTGTCCTTTGAGGCGGCCACCCTGGAAACAGCCTCGTTGAAGGCCTGCTGCCGCCCTGCCAACACGACCACCTGCTCCCGCTCCAGATTAGAAGTCCTAAGATCCGAGTCGCTCAGCTGTGGCGGCGGATGCCTCCTGACCTCCTCAGCGGCCAAGGCTGGGCTCTGCTTTTCTGTGATAAACGACTCCTCCATCTTCCCCATTCTGAGTTGACTGGAGTCGATCAGCTCTTGTTGCTGAATCCTTGCAGATATCAACTCCTGCCTGATGTCCTCTCGTGCCTGCTCATGGGCTCCCCTGATCTGGGATATTTTTCCTGCGAGGTCTTCCAACAGAGAGTTGAGTTTGAGTCTGTGTTGTTCCTCAGCGCTTGCTCTTAGCTCATTCAGTTCCTCCTCTCGGGCCTTGTTGAGAGTCTCTGTCAGGTCTTGGCAGGCGGCATCTACTCTCAGTTCCGTTGTCTTCTTAAACTCGGCCAACTCTTCCAGCTGAGTGTCTTGGAGGTGGCGCAGCTTGGACTCCAGCTCTCTGTCGTGCTTCCCTGTCAGTTCAGATCTCAGAGCCTCCAGACATTTCTCCTTCTCGGCAGAGAGGTGCTCTCGCAGGAGGTCAATCTCTTCTTCTGTGGTCTCTTTCATCATCTGAACAGCATCTTCCTTCTCCTTGATGCTGGCCAGAAGATCTTGGATCTCCTGTTGCTTCTCGCTCTCAATCAAAGCCGCCTTGTCGCGGGATTCCACCTCCATCTGGCATCTCAGTGATTTCAAATCTTGGCTGCTCTTTTCTCTCAGGTTTGCAAGCTCTATTTCTTTGTCCTTTAATTGGTCTTGAATTTGCAGACGGTCTCGTTTCAAAGATTCGATCTGCTCCTTGAATTGACTAATTTCTGTTTTCAAATGGTTGCTCTCCTTATCCCACTGAGCTTTTAACTGTTCACTTGCCGTGTGAACAGCTCTTGATTTTTCTTCGCTCTCATAGACACAAACTTGATCGCACATTACTTCAATCTTTGAAAAGCATGTTGCCATTGATTGCCCAAAGGCAATTTTGTCAACCGCAATGGAGTTTCTCATTTCAGAACAATCCACTTTAAGTTTGGCAAGGGTAGTTTCCAATTTTTCAGCCACAGACGCAATTCCTTTACGCGAGACATGCAGCTTGTCTTCAACTAGAATATTGTTGTCTTTGACTGATGCCAATTCCGTCTCCCTCTCCTCCAAGAGATGCTGAATGTCTTCCATTTTCAGCTGAGACTCTTCTAAAAGTGCCTCCTTTTCCTGCAGCATTTCCTTAAGTAACTGCACCTCTTTGGCAAGCATCGCTGACGAACTCTCGGTGACTGGAAGCCTCAACGGCGATTCTGCATCATCGAGTGGGCTTGTCACTGCCGAGTAAAAGTTCCCTTCTGGGGCTGTCAGAAGAGACGCAAAAGGCGTCTCCCCGCGGGTGGACATGTCTAGGGGACTGAGAGCCAAATCGGGGGTGGTAGCCGCCGAGACAAAACTCTCCACGTGCTGGAAGGACAAGGATTGCAGAGAATCTGGACTGAGTGGGGTGGCCCTCTTGCTGACCTTGTTAGAATCTATCGATAAGAATTTCATCCCCTCCGGGAGAGAGTCGGGTCTCTGAGGAGTTGCTCCTTGCTGAGCGAGCTCAGAGACCAACGCATCCTCCCGATCTGGATGATCTGGAAGCTCTGTCTTCAAGACGGTGATTTCAGAATCGTGGGATTTCAGGGCGCATATTTCCTGACTGCTCATACTCGTCTGAGTTTGTTCATCAGAGAGAGTTGCCTTAAGTCTCTTGGGCAGAAACGCACCATCCTCAACTTCCAAAACCTCCATCTGAAATCTAGGTTTATCAACAACCACAAGACATTAGCATTTTTTTTTTCAGACAGTGATCAGTCCGTAGAAGGATGTAGTCACATACTTGCAGATAATACATTATAATTTTAAAACAAAAAGTAAAAAGTGCTTTCTTTAGCAAAACAGACTACCATAAATAGAGATGATAAATAAATGATGAATAATTTGAAAGCTAAACAAAATCAAGATGTGTTATTTGATAGTCCTTTTGTATAATAGTACTCAGCTTGGGTCAGAATGATCACATATTTCAGTTAAAATTGCATCCAAGTAACCAAAAATACATCTACAATTGGGCCCTACAATGCTGAAAGCTAACATACTGAGGTATGGAAACATAACGAAATTATAGGCCGCATCCCAATCACTTGTCTAGAGCTATAGACCTTTATCATGCTGCCACCATTTCAGTCATGTTCCCTGTATCCAATAACAGTACTGAATGATAATGGTTTTTGTGTAGAAAGGAACCAGACTATTTTTCCTTCCAGCCTCGCTTTGGTTACGTTGATTTGATTGGGGAAAAAAATCAAGATGGCCGCAACATGATAATAGTCTATAGTCTAGGTCTGTCGTGGATGCTTGGGCATAGGCACATATACATGGGAACAGCTGTAGCACTGGACATCCGTTTTGGACACGGCTAGACTCTGAGCCTGCTTCAGGTGGCCCACGCTAGATAAACAGACAAATACCACGTTTGCTGAGTTCTAAAGAAAGAAAACAAAAGATGCTGCCAACTCACGAAAGAATGTGGGATAATTCTGGAAGTTTTTCCCTGAGGGCTACCACGTCTTCGTTTGTGATATCTGGTAGCCTGGTATCAAATTCTCCTGGAGGTGTTGTCTGTATCGATTATAAAGAAAAGAAGGGAATGTATGGAAGGCTTAAGGGAATGTACATCATTGGCTTTTGCTGCAATTATCAGAAATGAACTATTTGAGGGGTTAGTATAATAGATCAAATACTGTTTAACTGACATGTTTGAAGTTTTGTGTTCGAAAATGCTTGAAAACTAAGAAAACCGAAAACGTTGAAGTAATCTGGTTCCCTGACTCCACTTAAGATAAAATGGATAAATTTATAGATGTCGGAAAATTGTACGGTAAGGGAACCAGTCTAGCTGGCCTGCACCCGTTCATGAACATGTAACCAATAGCAAACAAAATTTTGACTGAAAGAACTGTAAATTTGGAGCAGTAGTTGAAAAATAGGTTTTTCCAATGATCTGACCACCGTTGGAAATGTATACAAAAATACAATTTTCTTGAAAATGACTTGACACCAGGTGCCGTAATTTTACAGGTGCTTTTAAACTGTCATTTACCAACATGCTAGCAAGGTATTTCGTAAAAACTTGGTAGTTTTGTATTTCGATGTTTGCAATTGTTGTCCCTTTAAAGATGTTGGCCTACATGCAGGAAATAAGCCATGTCCAAATAAGCACACATCAACAGTAAAGTATACAGGGTGAGTCAAACTCAAGAAAACAACGAAACCCAAATGTCGGGACCATTGCTTTAGTGAAGTTCTGCATGTAGCACTTTCAAAATGTAGGATATTAAAGCCCAATTCATAAGCTTTCTTTTAGTACAAGAATCATTCAGATCACTCATGTACTTTTGAAGGTGTGCGTTCTTTCAGCAGAACAAAAACAATTCATACACATTCTCGTTTTGCTGAAAGAACATTTACCTTTTTTGTGATCCGTGGACACAACTTTAAAACTTAAAAAGTATATGAGTGATTTGAATGATTCTTGTACTAAAAGAAAGCTTATGAATTGGGCTTTCATATCCTAGATTTTGAAAGTGCTACATGCAGAACTTCACTAAAACAATGGTCCCACCATTTGGGTTTCGTTTTTTTTACTCACCCTGTACAAATACAGCATGGTTCAAGGGGAAGAAGTGGGAATTACTGGGTAGCTTGACTACCTCCCAAAGCTTTTCTTGGTGCATCAGGTGTCCAGTTTAAAAATATGCAATGTCAGTTTGGGTAATATTTTACGTTTGTGTAAACAAAACAGCAAAACAGGAATATTTGGATATAACATTGACACAGTGTTAATGTTGCGTCCGAATTATCACATTTTTGCACATATTTTTGTAATGATTTCAAACTTTCTCAAGTATTGAAACACTCCAACACAAATATTATGTTGAGCAATTGTTTAGAATCCATTGATAATTTTAATAATAATCACTACGGGAAATTGGTCATTTGGGAGACATTCCCATAGATTTGTGCACATAATTTTTCAAACTTCAATGTGCCCTAACCCAATATTCCCTTGTCCTTTTTCCACGAATTTCGGTATGTTTACTAATTAGACCATGAGCAACAAATATAATCTAATTGCGACAGTAAACTTTTGCCTCTAAAGGGGGGCTGTGACATTAGGGAGACATGAAAATGTCTCTCTAATGACAGATGTCTCCCATCGTGCGAAGAAATTGCAAAATTGCAAAATGTGTCTCCTTAAGGCCCCCCCCCCCCCCCCAAAAAGTCTCCGGTTTCTGGTATGGAGCTTGCCCAAAAAGTGGTGCGGCGACGCGGCCTTTTTTTTTTTTTACCTGATTTTTTTTGCCTCAAATGTCGGCTGATGACTGCAAATGGTGCCCGACTAAACTTAGTTCAAATATATGGGAGTCCAGAGAGGCCACATAAAGCTTATTCTCGATCATAACCCCATCCAAAAACACATTAAAATTGTGCAGCAGCAGGATTCCAGTCAGCCCAGTGAGTTTGGCGGTTTTGAGACATCATCTTTCATCGAAAAAAAAACTTTTTCATTTTGCCGACGCGCATGGCTACGGCGACGCACGCGCATACCAGAAACCGGATACTTTTTTTTTTTGGCCTAATGGTACCTTAACACGTATAATTTAACCTGTTATTTGGATGTAACATGCACTGTTTCGCACCCGGTGGAATGACGCATATATATATACATGTAACACTTACAGCAAATAACGGCGGAACTTCACCGGCCAATCCAGGGAAGAGAACATTCAGGAAGTGTCGCTCCATGCTGGTCGCAAACTCCCTCCTCTTATCCATTTCTGATTGGTGGCTCAAGAGTGAGGATTCACAGACCTTTCCTGCCCACTACATACAGGCAACACATCAAATGAGACCTAAATGTGATATCCCTATACATACATGCACATACAGTGGAACGCCACTATAGCGATCACCGCCATACCGAACATTCGGCTATACCAAACATCATCCTTGGCTCCCGGTTTTAATGTACAAAATGTACCAAACATCGTTGTTGAAAAAGTCAACAGATTAACAAACAAGTCAGGTGTGTTTACAAACACAAATGCCCCGCAACCGTGACTGTTTCCATGACATAACACCACTCTAACATCAACTTACATGTACCTTGGTCAAATGGAACGTTCATTGACAGCATTAGTGTCTTCTGTAGGTTTTATATGAATTAATCCCTAATCCCTATGATCTCAGAATAAATACAAGATTTCTATTGTTTTAGCCACTGTGACCTTGACCCTTGACCTTTTGACCCCCAATGCGATAGGCTTCTTAGGAGTGCCAAGGACAATCCACAAACCAAATTTGAAATTCATATGTAAGGTATTTCTCAAGTTATCGCGCTGACAAAATTTCTATTGTTTCAGCCACTGTGACCTTGACCCTTGACCTTTTTGCCCCAAATGCAAAAGGCTTCTTAGAATTGCCAAGGACAATCCACAAACCGAATTTGAAGTTCATATGTAAAGTATTTCTCAAGTTATCGCGCTGACAAAATTTCTATTGTTTCAGCCACTGTGACCTTGACCCTTGACCTTTCGGCCCCAAATGCAAAAGGCTTCTTAGGATTACCAAGGACAATCCACAAACCAAATTTGAAGTTCATTTGTGAAGTATTTCTCAAGTTATCGCGCTGACAAAATTTCTATTGTTTCAGCCACTGTGACCTTGACCCTTGACCTTTTGGCCCCAAATGCAAAAGGCTTCTTAGAATTGCCAAGGACAATCCACAAACCAAATTTGAAGTTCATATGTAAAGTATTTCTCAAGTTATCGCGCTGACAAAATTTCTATTGTTTCAGCCACTGTGACCTTGACCCTTGACCTTTCGGCCCCAAATGCAAAAGGCTTCTTAGGATTACCAAGGACAATCCACAAACCAAATTTGAAGTTCATATGTAAAGTATTTCTCAAGTTATCGCGCTGACAAGATTTGTCCGGACACACACACCCACACACCCATACTTGTTTCACATGACTAGTGTGGACTTTCCATTGCTTTCGTGTAGTTAAGAAAAACCAGTGAAAAAACTCATTTTTCTCAAACTGTGAAAACTCTTTCAACCCAATTTTTTTTCTATGATTCCCTTTAGTGTTTCTCTTCATTCTGCTATAGATAAACCTAACCCAAAAATGCCTCTAAACCTGTTTTCCAGAAATGGGGAAACACTGTGTGGACGTGGGGTAAGTCCACACAACGTCGGTGCTACCTACATTATGTGGACGTCTTTTGTTCGGAAGTCCACACTGCGTATGTAAGACAAACTCACCCACCCACACACACACCCACACACCCACCCACCCACCCACCCACCCACCCACGGAAGGACAAGGCGGAAACAGTATGCCCCTTCGGCTTCGCCGCGGGGCATAAAAAACCTACCAGTTCTACACGTATTAAACACTGTTGGGCCACTTTTAATTCCCGAACATGAAACCACCCATGGTTACATCGTGTTTGAATGTTGAAGAGTGATTGATGGCTATTATTTCCCCAAGGAATAAAAGGGAAAACCACCCATTGCTAAACGTTTGTGACAACTCCTCATTCGGCCGCGGGATGATAAATGCCAGTTCAGTGACTTCACTATTGGTCAAAAGAGGGTATCGGTGGTTCAAAATCGTTATACGGAACGATCGTTATTACGAACACTTTCTTAGGATCCCACAATGTTCGTTATGGCGGCGTTCCACTGTACATGCATGCACATATGAGGGACAGAAAATCCCTGCTTTAAATCCAGTAGTACACTGCAAGGACCAAAAAAATCCCTGCTTTTAACAGAAGGACTTCACATTTTTCAACACATATGCCAACTTTGAGATGAGCTACAAACCAAACAAAATATTTTACACCAAAGTGTTTTGGATAGTTTGTAAAACACATGGTGGGGTATAATAATAATAAAAATAATTTGGGAGGCTAATCATCCTTACTCGCAGAGGGATGCTGAATTGTGAAGGACGCGGCTACAACGTGGTCAGGCTACTAGCACATAAAGGCGCCTAGCACAGCCTAAGATCGAAAGTGTTTGATTTTTCCGGAGGGAGGAAAACGGGAGGGCCTGGAGAAAAACCCTCGTGGCACAGGAGAGAACCAACGCACAACTCTACTCATGCGTGATCCGCGGCCAGGCCAGGATCTGCGGCCAGGATTCGAACCGTGGTCACCTTGGTGAGAGGCGAGCGCTTATGCACAAGCCACCCATGCCACCCATGTAATTTTCATCCAAGTTCGTCTCTGATCCTTAAGGTCAAATTCAAGGTCAAAGTAAACGCCAAAATACTATCATACTTCAAATTACTCTGGCGTGAGAAATAATGGTAAATTTTGATTTCTTATGATGTAACCTTTCCAAAGAAACCAAGATTGACAAATTTGTCACACAGGTTTGAAAATTGATGGCCATGCCCATTTTGACCATTTTGGCCAAGTCGGTTTTTCTGTTAAAAGAGGATTCACGCCATGATATAGTTGCTCCAGCTATCCAGATAACTACTTACAGCAGTGAAATGATCAGCGTAACTCCTCCGTCGACAAACCTCAATGACAGCCGCGGCATAGAGCCTAGGGGCTGAGTACACCTGCCTTACGATCTCAAGCCGCTTTCTGAGACGCTTCAGGTTTTCGTGGTAGACTAGCATCTTACTGTGAACAGCACTGATCTGCTGCTCCACGTACATGATCCACCTGAAAGTGGCAAAAAAGGTTAATGCAATAAGATATTGTCAGTTTTGCAGTTGGATCATCACAAGTCCTCATTAGTCCTAACACCTCATCACAAGTCCTCACAAGTACACAGAAGTCCCCAAAAGTCCTCTTAAAAGTTTGGAAGTGCTTGCAGTTGCTTGCAAGTCTTCACAAGTCATTTCAAGTCCTAGTAGGTCCTTTCAAGTCCTCAGAAGTTCACACAAGTCCTTGCAAATATGCAAGTCCTCATAAGTCCCAACAGATTCCCACAGGTCCACACAAGTGCTCACATCCAAACTTGTCCTCAAAAGTCACCACAAGTCCTCATAAGTCATTACAAGTCCTCATTAGTCTACACCGGTCATTACAAATCACCACAAGTCCTCATTAGGTCGTTCCAAGTCCACACATGTCCTCAAAGTCATCAAAAGTCTTCAGATGTCCTCATTAGTCATCACAAGTCATAAGTCTGCACCAGTCATTACAAATCACCACAAGTCCTCACAAAGTTATTCAAAGTCCACACATGTCCTCAGAAGTCATCGCAAGTCTTCAGATGTCCTCATAAGTCATCTTAAGTCCTCATAAACGTACATCAGTCATTACAAATCATCACAAGTCCTCATAAACGTACATCAGTCATTACAAATCATCACAAGTCCTTCACATGTCCTCACAAGTCCTCATAACTCTTCGCAGGCCGTCACAGGTCCTAACAAGGATGCTCAACAAGTTTGTAGGGAGGAGAGTTGTAGGCAGTTGATAAAGACAAACTTACCTGAGTCTGACGTGAAGGTTGTGGCACAGTTCATCCTTAGCTACCTGGCACCGACGGCTGATCTCGGCCAATTGGCAATGCTTCTTGTACATCACCGTCAGCTGTTGCTGGTGGCTCTTGCACAGATCTGGCAGGACCGACGTGTCGTTAAGATTACTGGCTCGCGTCTGGTTCTGGACCATTCCCTGGGATTGTCAGTGAAGCAAATATATACAAGTGTTTTAGCCGAGGTACTATTAATTTCTTTCTTATTTTAACTTGGTAGCCCATTCAGTGGAATCCACTGATCTCCCATTGGTCCCAGAAGAAGTTACAGTTTTAGAGGTGGGAGGAAAAGCCCAGAAGAGTATTCTGAGGAAAACCCTAGGAATCAGGTAGGGACCGAAAGCCCAATCCACATATTGGCCCAGGCAGGATTCGAACCCGGGTCACAGCGGTATTCTGAGGAAAACCCTAGGAATCAGGTAGGGACCGAAAGCCCAATCCACATATTGGCCCAGGCAGGATACGAACCCGGGCCACAGCGGTCTTCTGAGGAAAACCCTAGGATCAGGTAGGGACTGAAAGCCCAATCCACATATTGGCCCAGGCAGGATACGAACCCGGGTCACAGCGGTCTTCTGAGGAAAACCCTAGGAATCAGGTAGGGACTGAAAGCCCAATCCACATATTGGCCCAGGCAGGATTCGAACCCGGGTCACAGCGGTCGAAGGCGAGGAAAGTACCACTACACCAGTACCTGTGTGTTGGATCACAAGTTCTCACAACACCACATTCCATGGCTTTGTCTAGGAATATGCGTGGGCGGGATTAGGTCAGCCAATGAAAACATCCATTTTGCAAGCCAGTTTTCACCGGTTGTTATGATTTCCTATTCAACACTCCAGACGCTTGAACCATCGAGTTTAAAGTAAATAGGTCTGGGAACTAGACAAGGCAATGTAATTAAGAAGCTCCCGGATGTCCACGTCTACCTATATCAACTTTTCATGACTCCTTTATTATAGAATAACAAAATTCCATGACTTTCCATGACAGCTTTGAATTCCAGGAGTTTCCATTACTGTGGAAACCCTGCCTTGGATAGGGCAGTGGTTTCAAGCAAATCTAGTCAGGGAAAACAGAAGCTGATCAAGACTAGAGCACTGGAAATGTCTTGAAATACCTGCGCCATCTCGGCCTGTTCTTGGAGAACCTTCTGCGCACTTGTCAGAAGCTGTTCCAGACCAAACAACCTCTCTCCCAGTCCTTTGACCTCCTTCATGCTTCCGTTGTTGACAGCCTCTACAAATTAGAGGTTGAAATTGAAAAAATTGGAAAAATGTCCGTCATTCTGGATGCAGTTTATGACTATAGGGCCATTTCTGAAACCTTGGCATTGTATAAGCTCTGGCTTTTTTGCCAGCTTATGATTTAGGTCTCTCACTCAATTCTGCTAAGTCTCTGTCACTTGGAAATATATCAAGCAAAACTTAAAAGAGTCTATAAAACCTTTCTTCACACAAAATTTTTCTGGGGCTTGAGTAAGCACCGTTGATATATTGAAATTACTCGATTATTTGATATTACCGGGTATTTTGATATCGATATCGCCAATAGCAATTTTTTAATCATATCGAAATATCGAAATTTTCGATATTTAGGAAATGATATTGTAAATATCAAAAATGCCTTCAGATTCTCGTCAAAATAAATCTCTGTTTGTGCTTTTACTGTGTGTTTAACGTTTACGGTATAATGCAATGAGGCTTGACGTAAAATTGTGCTTGTCACACAAAATATAAACATCGAGTGATGCCAAGCCGCTTCGCTTTGTGCTCTGCATTCCCTCAAATTTGCGGCCTCCCAATGTAAACAGGTAAAACCTCAAAAGAAACCGGCCATTCTCGACAGACTGTCAGTGCTGAGATTTATTTTTAAAAATTTGAGTAAAGCCGTGGAAAGACTTAAGATTGGTTTATTTTAATCAAAGTGTCATCTTTATAGTCTCTAACTTTACGTCGAACAATCGACATATTCAATATTCTAGTTAATGTCTTTCTGATATAGCGATTATTCTAATATAATAAAATTCTAATATCGACTGAACTGAGGTCATGACAAAGATAAGGTTTGGAACAAAATAAATAAAGTTTGAATAAATCTATATATATCAAAGGTCACTTTGTTTGTAGAATTTAGCAAAGAAGGCATGAGAAATGGAATTTGAGGGGGAATTACTATTTTTCCTCAGGGCAAGAGAGACTCACCGAGAGTTGTGATGATTTCAGTAGACATCCCATCAAGAACCTGCTGGGTAAACTGATCTAGACTCTTGGAACATTGCTGGGCCATTTGTTGCAGAGTGCTTCGCTGATCCTACATGTACATGGCAGAGAGAATCAAGTCACATCAAACAGACATTGTTTTAATTGTGGCCATGGTCATGTTCATGGTCAAGGTCGTGGAATTGGACATGAACATGGTCATGTTTATGGTCATGGACATGTTCATGGTCCTGGTCATGGAATTGGACATGTTCGTTGTCCTGGTCATGGAATTGGACATGGTCAGGTCATGGACATGATCATGGTCATGGTTCTGGCCGGTGCTGGTCGTATTTATGGTCAAGGACATGTTCATAGTCCTGGTCACGGAATTGGACATGTTCATCGTCCTGTTCATGGAATTGGACATGGTCAGGTCATGGACATGATCATGGTCATGGTTCTGGTGCTAGTCATGTTTATGGTCATGGACATGTTTATGGTCATGGAATTGGACATGAACATGGTCTGTTTATGGTCATGGACATGTTCATGGAATTGGACATGAACATGGTCATGTTTATGGTCGTGGACATGTTCATGGTCCTGGTCATGGAATTGGACATGTTCGTTGTCCTGGTCATGGAATTGAACATGGTCAGGTCATGGACATGATCATGGTCATGGTTCTGGCCGGTGCTGGTCGTATTTATGGTCAAGGACATGTTCATGGTCCTGGTCACGGAATTGGACATGTTCATCGTCCTGTTCATGGAATTGGACATGGTCAGGTCATGGACATAATCATGGATATGGTTCGGGTGCTAGTCATGTTTATGGTCATAGACATGTTTATGGTCATGGAATTGGACATGAACATGGTCATGTTTATGGTCATGGACATGTTCATGGTCCTGGTCATGAAACTGGACATGTTCATCGTCCTGGTCACGGAATTGGACATGATCAGGTCACAGGACATGATCATGGTCATGGTTTTGGTGCTTGTCATGTTTATGGTCACGGGCATGTTCATGGTTCTGGTCCCTGAATTGGACATTGATATGGTCCTGGTCATGGTCCTAGTCATGGACTTGGTCATGTTCCTGGTCATGGTCATATAGAAGTATGTCTCTACCTCCTCTGGCAGCTTCGTCAATGTCACAGTGACTGTCACTGTCATGGTCATCATCATGTTTCCCAACTGGCAACTGTCCCTTCTCAACTTGATGATGGAACCCTCATGAAATAAGATTCAAACTTCTTATATAAGATTTGAGGCTTTACATGGTGGGGTATTGGCATCGTTTCGGTTTGCGGTAACACCATGTGGTAATAACTACTGCTTAGAAAATATTAGTTCTGAAAAGAACTTGTCCTGCTTATTATCAACTTTGCTGAGTAGTTTTTTGCACTGATAAGAACAGTCCTGCTGTAAGTTCTAAACGAACTTGTCTTTGGTCTCAACGTTTCGACTAGCCTGCTCTAGTCATCGTCAGGAGACTGAAGATAGTTGGAGATGCTACTCCTTAAGTAGGATTTGTAAGGATTGGGAGTGCTTGCTGGGCATGCCCTGCTCGCTCGGATGTGTCAGTCAAGCTTCTTGTCATAGTAACTGTCAATGTCATTGTTCAGAGATGCCACAGGGTCTGCTTGAAAAAAACCTGAACTTTATTTTTTGTGAAAAATATAGAAGCAAAGTGACACTATGACACAAAGTCTCTGTTGTCATCTTTCTTTTGTAGTCAAGCCTGCTCCATTTATCTTTTGCTTCTATGCCCTTAATAAGCTGTTGCTTCCTTCAATCTCTTTGAATGTTTCCATATTCCCATTTTGTATTCTGCCTACCCGAATTTCCAACGTTTTTTTCGACACGAAACATGCATGATTCTACAACACTGTCGGTGTACATGACCTTTGCACTACGCAATGAGCATGACAAAAAGATGGTTGGTACCTGGCGTATTTTGTATTCACATATTTCACTGTAATCGGAAACCTCCGATAACTGAATTGATAGATTAGATTTCCAGGCTGAATGCTACGTGTGCATAGCACACGAAGCGCCGTTGTGTACTGTGCGCAAGTACGTTGGCCGCGTATCGCATGCAGGCTCGGCAACAACAAAGACTTGTGTTTAAGACTACTTCAACGAACAACGTTGTGCCCTGTGTGCGCAATCCTTCCAACATGTGGGCCTACATGACTGTACTAAACTCGAGAGCGTTAACAAGGTAAAAATCAATGCATTTCCACAGTTTTTTCCTTCTCTTTTTTCCAGTTTTTTTTTTGACGGCCAGAAAAGTGAGATTTAAAGATATAGTCCATCTTTTGTAATTTGTGCATTTTGTTCATTTGAAGCAACAAAGGTGCTCAAAATCTAAAGAGGGGTACTGAACAACTAACCTGATGAAGTTTCAGCTCAGCTTCAACTGTATATTCTGAGATAAACAGCATTCTAGGATCTCAATTTCAAATCAAAAGTTGCTGAATCATGTTTTGAATTGGGCCTGAATTCAGCGTCCGAGACACGTTCTCACTGAGCTGATAGCAGCTACGCGATGTCGCGCACTGATCCAACGAATTATAGCAACTGTGCGTGCGTTTGCGTCGTGCCAATGCTTGCGCGCACTTCGCCAAATAACAAAACTAACTACTAATTTAAATTTCCTGTGGTGAGTCTTAAGAAGCACCATTGGAAAGGCCTTTTTTCGTTGATTACTTTAAAATGACAGCTTGCCAGAAAGAATAATGTCACAGGGAGTTTAGTCCCCTTACTATCTTTCAACCAAGTATGTTTTTCAACAATAATTACGCCGGTTACTTTTCAGATAGCTGCAAATGATGGACTATAGCTTTGACAAAAAAAGGGGGAAGTGGCATCTCTGATTGTTGTTTCTCACCTGGCTACTGATCCACTGCATTAGGGTGAGAGTCCCTTCCTCTCCCAGCGTGTCTCTGTTGACGACACTGCACTCCTCAAGCAGGCAGGGTAGCAATGGGGTCTTCTCCAGCAGCTGCAGTACGTCTCCAAATTCCGCCAGCTGGGTGACCAATTGAGGGCGCTCTTCCAGAAACTCAGTCATGCTCAGTCTGAATGCGCTTGCCCGCTGGTCGAAGGCACTAGTGTCAACAACACAAAAAAATGGGTTCGGGAAATTGGACTATAAATTGGTTGCAGAGTTCCAAAGTGGGGCCATTACAATATCTCACTCAGATTCAGGTAGTGGCTTCCCCTCCATGGACCATATTCAAGAAACAATGGAGGAATTTGCGGGATTGAGGCTATTTTTCCATGAGGCCAATCGGAGGATTTTGCAGGATTGAGGCTACATCCTAGCAAAAAGGCCTAGGGAGTTAGGGTTAAAGGGAAAATACAACATTTGCAAACATCAAAAAATAAAACTACCAAATCTTTTTGAAATACCTTGCTGGACTGTTAGTGAATGACAGTGTAAAGCATCCTGTAAAATCATGGCACCTGGTATACTGTCATTTTCAAGAAAAGTGGTATTTTTGTATCAATTTCCAACGCTGAATGGCCGATCAGCATTGGAAAAAAACTGGCTTTTTTTCAAATACTGGCCCCAGTTGACCATCGCACTTGTTTGCAATCGATTACAAACCTATGAACGGGTACAAGCCAGCTAGACTGGTTCCCTGACCTTACAATTCCCCAATGAAAACTAAACTGCTCTGTTTCTTCTTAAATGGAGTCAGGGAACCAGACTACAGGAAAATGATTGTTTTTCTTAGATTTTATAGCATTTTCGAACCCAAAACCTTAAAAAGTCAGTGTAACTATATTTGCTATGTATTTCCAACCCCCCAATTCCATCCATTTCTGAAACTTACAGCAAAAGCAAATGATGTATATTCCCTTTAATGATAAACCAATAACGGTATGTGTTCTCCCTCAACGCTAGGTCCTACCTGGTAATGTCTTCGAGATTGGCCACCACGGCCATCCAACCTTGCTGCTGCAGATGCTGATCATGAACCAGGCCCTCGCACTGACGGAGATTATCCTTGGCAAGGTCGTGGAATTGCTGTATAGAAATCAAGGAAATGGTTCAAGATGTATCTTCGGAAATTTCTCGTTATCAAACGAGAATGGGCGTGTGCAAGCTTTAGACACGACACGCACGGGTTGCTAAAATTTGTCGGTTCTGTGCGTTGTATGGCACAAAGGTGCAATTCCAAGGATTACAATAAAAAAAATTACATTGCATGGGCCCTTTTAATCCTAACCGCCCTGAATCCTTCAAAAGCCTCTTCGCCAAAGTGGAGGAATTTGGAGGATTGAGGTTTCATGGCAAAAGTGCATTACCGATATTGGAAGATGCACTTTTGTCAAGGCTTTGGGCCAGACTTGTGTTGTTTTTGCTCAGCCATGCATAAATATAGGCCTGGATTATGCTTGAAATCCTCCCTACGGCTCCAGGATGTCACTGGCCAAGCCTCAACATATTGACAGTCACTGTTGCAGGATTTTGCAGGATTCAGGCAGTGGTCACCCCTCCACGGACCATATTCAAGAAATAATGGAGGATTTTGCAGGATTGAGGCTATATACTATTTTTCCATGAGGCCAAGTGGAGGATTTTGCAGGATTGAGGCTACATCCTATCAAAAAGGCCTAGGGAGTAAGGGTTAACCCTCCGAGCAGCGCGGCGGTAGTTTAATAGTCCAGATTTTCGAAATATGGTCATAATTTTTTTATCAATGGTGGGCCAATAAGGCCAAGCATACATGTAATCCTCACCCCTACTATACACCACAAGCCTGTAGACTCCCATTGGCCAGACCCTACCCACTCTGGAGTAAGGAGTTCGAAAAATACAGAAGCCAAGATGGCGCCTAATGCCTTCGTGCAGTAATTGGAGCTCTTAGTGGCCAACCCCTAAGTGCCGCCGATCCCTTTGTGTCAACCCCTCGTGCCGCCCAGAGCCCAGACAGGTTGTAAACAATCCCTGGCCATGTGAATGACCTATATCTTGTGCATGTACAGCCATGCCAGGGTTATTGACCTATAAACACATGAGGTGATAAAATTCTCCACGTGGTTTCACGGTGTGATTTTTTTTGATAAGCTGCTCCGAGGGTTAAATAGTATGGTTAATTAGCTGTCATGAGCATTAAACTTCCTATAAATACATGCGGTGATAAAATTCTCCACGTGGTTTCACGGTGTGATTTTTTTTGGATAAGCTGCTCCGAGGGTTAAATATTATGGTTAATTAGCTGTCATGAGCATTAAACTTCCATTCATAACGCTGAAATTGTATGCTATTATAATCTGACGAGATCCACAGTACCAATGCAAGTTGGGTGCGTGCCACCACGGCGCTGTAGCTGTGAGGTAGGTTCTTCAGGCCTTCCACTTGCAGTCGCAGTTTCTCCTCTTTGCTCTGCAGCATGCTGGACGTCACCGGCGGCGTGGCCGACTCGATGGTGCCCTTACTGAACAGGAAGATGGGGTTGGTATCCTGTAAGGGTAGGGACCAGGGAAAGAGTCATGTCATGGTGTTGTTTTTAAACTTCTGCACAACCATCCGAGAAACAAAATTTCATTAATGATACAGTTCAATATTGGGTTTTGCCCTTCATCGATATATACCTTTTTTTTAGAAACACTGTATTCAGGTTTTTAAAGGGAATATACAACATTTGCAAACATCGGAAAACAAAACTACCCTTTTTTTACGAAAAACCTTACTAGGATGTTGGTAAATGACAGTTTAAAGCATCCTGTAAAATTATGGCACCAGGTGTGAAGTCATTTTCAAGAAAATTGGTATTTTGTATGAATTTCCAACGGTGGTCGGCCGACCACCGTAGGAAAAACCTGACTATTTCTCAACTACTGCTCCAATTTACCATTTTTTTTTCAGTCCAAATTTTGTTTGCTATTGTTACATGTTCATGAACGGGTGCAGGCCAGCTAGAGTGGTTCCATTACCTTACAATTTTCTGGCATCTATAAACTGATCCATTTCATATACTAACCCCTCAAATAGTTCATTTCTGAAAATTACAACAATTGCCAATGATGTACATTCCCTTTAATTACCTTTAACAATAATCCGTATTTCTCGAAAGTATAACATAGGTCATATACATGAAATGTTATAGGCTACATGTACTGCACGCTCTAAGTATATTGTTGATGTACCCTAACGTGGTACACTTTCCCGACCCCACCATTTTTGAATTTTGGATTTAATTTCATGACACGAAATTGGTTACAGAGGTTAAATAGCTAGCATTAATCAGGTAAAAGTACCAGTGTTTCACTGAATAAATTTGAAGTTTGTCAACAAAGAATTTTGGCAACAATACATAAGGAAAGTATATTCTGTGAACATACACGTATATATACATGCATGCGATACAATGTTCAGTTAAAGAGGTTGTGGAATGCTCGAAGACATTTCCGTCATTTTTTGGGTATGTGTAGCCTAAGGTGTGATGAAATAAAAACGACTATTGTTTCCGTCATGAAATGAGTACAAAGGGTACTTTTGAGAGCTATTTTTCAGGTCCTCTTTCGACCCGAGCGTGCAATTTGTGTAAAAGTCATCGTTGTGGGCAGCAAACAAAACACAGTAGGCCTAAATCGTGACGTAATAAACAGGACTCGTTTATGCTACTCTGCATCGGGAGTCCTGTTTATTACGTCACGATTTACTGTGTTGATTTTCGGGTTGGACGGATGAGGGCAACACAATTTATTTTTTTGGCCTAAGGACGTTTACAACTGTTTTGTGTGGATTCAGAATAAACTTGGTCGCGCCCACTGTGCGCCAAACGTGTGCGAAACCAATACGGTGTGTCCCTCCGTCTGGAGGTCTCAGTAGTGGGCACAAAGCGTCGTCTACTCTTAATGCACAGAGTCTATGAAATTGCATCATCACAACGCCTTTTTTTTTCAGGGGGGGGGGGAGATAAAAAAGAGGCCATTTTAGATTTGATACCGTTCCAGCGCTGTAGCTGCAGACTCGGATGTGCGGATCCAGGCTCTGCCCACCGCTAATCAGCAACACTTGCTTGTCAATCGGTAACTGGTACTCCGTGGCAAGGGTTTCCTGCAGCCTCTGCACACTGGACAATACACACAAATCAGTTCAAACATTCGTTAATCAAACTGCTCATTTCCCAGTAATTATTGGTTCCAGAGGTTTTCCTACTAAAACGACTATCATCAGGAACATACATATATACGGGAGTCAGGTTGGCGTAGCGGTACTTTCCTCGCCTTCCACCGCTGTGACCTGGGTTCGAATCCCACCTAGGCCAACATGTGGATTGGGTTTTCAGTCCCTACCTGATTCCGTGGGTTTTCCTCAAAACATACTTCTGGGCTTTTCCTCCTACCGGTACATCTAAAACTGTAATTTCTTCTCATTATCTTCTCTTTACTGGGCTCCATGGGAGAACAGTGGATCCCCCCTGGGCCAACCAGTTAAAATAAGGGTAAGTCTACCGTACAAGTAGGTCACTTTTTTCAATCAATTTTCAAGCGTCAAAAAGTTACTTTCTATGGTTCTTTCACCTATTTTCCCGGCCTCCTCGACTCTCACTCTCTACCCTTCAATCCTCTTCATTTGCCAGTTACTTACGCCACTGGGATTCGAACCCGCAATCTTGTTATTTAATCACACCAGCCTTATCCGCTACACTAGTCGAACGATCGTTGCCAGTAAGGTACTACATTTTGTATTTGTATAAGGCTAATGAATATTTAATACACTCAATATTCACGACAAATAAGCATTCATGACGACGTATTGCACTATCATTGGGTACAGTCACGCGCACCGCATACATCAATAACGAATGCCATAAATGGCCGCCAAGACCGTCTGCTGCCGAGCTGATGTGTGCATCCAAAGTGGGCTCTAAAAACACATTTTTCCGAAAAAGTCGTCACATTTCCAGAGCTTTCTGGATTCGTCTTAGTTCTTGGTTGGTTCATCTCCTAAATACTCTGCGTGGGAGTTTATACAGGAGACCAGAAACACCGGGGCATACCCCTTCTCTTAGCAATAAAGTGACACTGGGTTCTTTTACGTGCATTGGATTACACAACACACAGGACCTACGACTTTACGTCCCACCCCAAGGACGAACCAATAATGGTTAAGTGCCTTGCTCAAGGGCACAAGTGTCCACCCGGCGGGCTCCAACCCACGCCACTGTTGCCTCTGAAACACCAGAGCATGAGTCCGGTGCTCTTATTAACCGCTAGGCCATGACACTCCACGCTAGGCCATGACACTACGGCGAAATCACAAGGTGAGGTGAACATTGATATGTCTACTGCCAGATAACTTAAGTACCAGTGTGGTATTCATTCCAAAATAAGAACCAGAATGAATTAGGCCTATCACAAGGAAGCGTATTAAATCCATACCTTTCCATGGTCAATGCCATGTCCAGTGTGAGCATGGAGCCCGTGTTAACCATGAAGACATACAGCATGGTGAATCCTTCTGCCTTGGGATCAATTCAAAGTGTGATCTCAGCAATCAATAACCTGTAAATGAGAAAAATTCCTATAGTTGTATTATTTATGGACAAAACACTAAGAGGTCAACATATTTGACCTCCCGCTCTACATGTCGAATTCCTCATGTCTTGATGGGCATTGCCATTGGACAAATGTTGGAGCTGGAATTTCTCAAGCTAACATGTCAAGCGAGATTTTAAACAACAATCAACGATCGTGAAGTACAGGACCCCTGTTTCGTTTTGATCAAATTAGAGTCAAAAATGTTTTTTATTGCTCAAAAATTCTAATGACACCCGTTTCATGGTTTTGCAATTTTGAACAGATTCTTGGGGTAGGCCTAGGCCTAGAACTAGAAATTATGATTTTCCTGCGTGGTTTGTGCCTTGCAATTCAGCGCGTCGTGCGTGCTCACGGTACATCGGGCTGTGATCGCCATCTTTATTTTCGGGTCGCGTGTTGTTGCCGCACTAGTCATCGTCATTTTTTTACCATGTTTAGGCTACCCCAAAATTTCCCTCAAAAAATCAAAACCCTGCCCTCATCTACGACATGCCTGTCATGCCTGTTTATTGAGAATGTCGCCAACTAGTTTGGTAGGTCCAATAATTTTAAAGTGGATTTTATTCCCTTATACTACTAGTTATAGGAACCTGGCCCTACACTACACGATCATTACGATCGCCGAGTTGGCAGCTCTTTCGAAACTCATTTAACCTGTTTAACAATGTTCAACGTGTTCAAGTCCAATTGAACGGCGCGGAACGCCAACATTCAGACATTTAGCGAATCACTCACCTAAAAATGACGAAATATTATCTCGAGACAAGAGATCCATTTCCACTTAACTGAGTCATGTTCATTAGACTCTGTCACGACTCTGTAAGGAATTATTTATAACGTTGACTTCATTTACCGTTCAGATGACTTTACGAAATTTTATTTCTGTACAAAACTGAACATATTGGAAGCGTAGCTCCCTGCCTCCCGCACCTTCATATCGTTGGGCTACCAGAATAATAGAATGGAGCCAGTCTGTATTCGTAGCCTCTGTTGAAAGTATTAACAGCGCCATCAACGCTTGTACTGGATAATATAAGTTCCGCCCCCCCCCCCCCCCCCCCCCATTTTCCCAGCCTCGATCTCCTCCTCCCCCCCCCCCCTCCAAAAAAAAAAAACAACCCAAATTTGGCCCGAACTTTAAGAATAAACGGTTGTTTAAACCCAAAAAGGAGTCATGTAAAAGTTCCGTCTGTTTACAATCAGAGTTCACACGTTTATTGTTCTGTTTTTCTGTTTTGTTTTGTTTTGGGTTTTTTTTTTTTTTTTTTATCTCAGTTGCTTTTTACTGCAGGGGACAGCGAATGGGGAGGGGGTTGGTTTACCCCCAAATTATTTTTCTCATTCGACATTTAAAGGCTCAGTCGGCAAACGACCACCAAATAAAACAAAATAAGAGATTCATTTGAGTACGCGCAGCTCCAACAATTATTGAAAAATACTCATAACTCTCCTATTATAAGGAATTTGAGATGACATCAAATTATACAACTTATTTCGTCATCTTTTATTTTCTGTTCAATTTTGTTGCTGGTCACGTCAAGATGCAAGACTGAAGATGCATCGTTACTTTCGTTAGTTTTGAGAAGAAAAAAAGGGTGCCTGCGATATGTACGGGCTCCATTGCAAAAATAGAGCAATTTGGCATGATCTAAATGATCAAAAATATGCAAATTAGACAAAATGTGCATCAGAGTTTTCTAAAAGGAAGTTTGGCTAAATTGGATATTCGTCAAGTTGTTTCATCATTTTGCAAGGACATAATACCCTCTCTCGCAAAGGGGGGGGGGGGAAATACGTGCCTTGCACGGTCTACTTTAATTTTCTTTCAATGGAGGGCGCGCCACATAAATAGTGGTCACCACCGGACACCACTGACAAAGCAAATCGTCTCTCTGCGCCCCAGAATAGGTAGACCTACCTAAGGCCAAAAAAAAAAGTCTCCGGTTTCTGGTATGCGCGCGCGTCGCCGTAGCCATGCGCGTCGGCAAAATGAAAAAGGTTTTTTTTTTCAATGAAAGATGACGTCTCAAAACCGCCAAACTCACTGGTTTGACTGGAATCCTGCTGCTGCACAATTTTAACGTGTTTTTAGATTAGATTATGGTCGAGAATAAGCTTTATGTGACCTCTCTGGACTCCCATATATTTGCACTAAGTTTAGTCGGGCACCATTTGCAGTCATCAGCACACATTTGAAGCAAAAAAATCAGGTAAAAAAAAAAAAAGCCGCGTCACCGCACCACTTTTTGGGCAAGCTCCATACCAGAAACCGGAGACTTTTTTTTTTGGCCTAAAACATTTCTCACGAAAATGATACTCCTAATTGTATACAAATCCAATGCACACATGGATAAAATACTTTGCAGGAGACATTTCCATGAGAGTGGCCACATCACGCGCTTCGCTAATCAACGGCTTCTAGTCGCGATCCAATTTCTTATAGGGCAAAGCCGCAAGGGAGTCATTTTGGCTAACCGACTGTGAAAGAAATGCACGTATTTTGAGGGATTTTACCAAAAAGGAATGAAGACCCCCAAAATGGGTCGAAACGCATCCCCTCCCCCCCCCCCATGAAATTGTTCAAAAATACATTGCATGGCCATGAGCCCTTTAAAAGACGGTTCATATTTCAAAATCGAATCCTTCAAAGTTTCCACAATGCTTTCAATGTCTATACTAGTCTTGGCCCAAGACGCGTGTTTTCGATAGAGGACGGTGTATAGTGCGCCCTCTAATGGCACAACAATTAGATTAGCGGGCCTACTCCGCACTATACGTCTTGGCCATTTTCGTATCAGCGGTTTAACTTTTTCTTTATTTTCCCCCTAGGCTTTCCTATATAGGGAACCAATCGGCGATCAAGAAATTCTTTAATGGCTCGCCAGACGCGCTAACCAATCAACGATCGAGAAATGCTTCAATGGCTCCCCGACGAAGGTTGTGAGCAAGCATCATCACTACTGCGGCAAATGGGAACTGCCGTTTGTTCGAATTTATACATACAGTCCTATAGATTTACATAAAATGGCCACGCCCCCATTGCTACGAAATGACCAAGACGTTAGTGCAAGAACGTAACAAAAAAAACCATCAAAAAAATTATCACTGACGCCTTGGGCAAAGACTATGTCTATACATAATGCTGATACAAAATTGGTGCTCAAACTCGTCAAAGGGTTTCACAATATTAAAGGGAATGTACAACATTGGCTTTTGCTGCAATTTTCAGAAATAAGTGCATTTGGAGGATTTATACGTTTGAGCAAATATGGTTAAACTGACTTGTTTCACGTTTTTGGCTTGTAGATGCTGGAAAAACCAAGAAAACCAATTATAATCTTGTGGTCTGGTTCCCTGACCCCCTTAAGATGAAATGGAGCAAGTAGACTTTGGGGAATTGTGCGGTCAGAGTATCAATTTAGCTGGCTTGTACCCATTCACAGGTGAGTAATCAATTGCAAAGAAGATGTGGAATAACTAAATATAAGAAATATGGAGTAGTTTTTTAAAATAGCCAGTTTTTACCAGCGCTGGTCGGCCGACCAGCGTTGGAAAAATATAATTTTTCTTGAAAATGTCAGCACACCAGGAGCCACAATTTTAAAGGATGCTTTAAACTGTCATTCCCTAACAATCCAGTAAGGTATTTCGTGATAAGTGGATCATTTCGTTTTTTGATGTTTGCAAATGTTGTATCTTCCCTTTATTTAATGGAAGTCAAATAACTAAATTCCATTCATATAAACACAGATGACTGATCATTTCCTGGAAAAGCAAAGCACACGGGATTCCGAAAGTGCAATTCCCTTTTACAATATGCTAAATCAATTTAGATAAAATTATGACAGATCTGCCAGGTTTCTGTATTAGATTTAAAAGAAATTTTTCGTTGGGCTCGCCATACTCCAATCTCCCTGTTAAAAGTTGTTTATCCCTGCGATATTGTTTATTTTAACGTTTTATTTCGGGCAGTGTTGGTATTTCAAGGCCCCGGCATAGAAGATTTCACCGCAAAATCGGATCTGGCCGGGAGCAGTATAAGTTCACACACGTGTTCACATCCGGAGGATGGGTTAAGAACGCGAGGTGGTTTATCAGCACCGGGCACAGGCACAGACTGGCTACCGACAAAACAGCCACAAAGCCGGTGGACTTTTAGGTTAAAGCAGCCACGATCTTCCACGTTTTGGGGGGGATTGCCGTTTACGTGGACGCGCCCTTGGAAAGTTTGTGAGAAAGATTGAAACAAGTGTTTTAAAGAAACTGCTCTGCTGGACTTAACACTGTGGAAACCGCCTCAGGTGACTGGACTTTTTGTTACGAAACACAGCTGTACAGACGTTACAAAACTGTGGATTCCCGGCGCTTTTGAGGTCGAAAACCGCAACCAAAATGACACGTGCTTTTGCAATAATGCGCCAAGATCATCGCTGAAAGTTCTTCTGAAAACTTGCCTGAAAAGTGAGTGGAAAATTTTACCCGGCTGAAATGAAGTCACGAAATATAACCACAGCTCGCCCAGGAGTTCATGTTTTCAACATTAATGGTTCAAACAACCTGCGAGTGATAAAGCTTGCGGCTAGCCCAACCGAGCCATGGGACTATGACGGATTTATGTATCAGTAAGGCTTGATCCTTAAATATACACCAGTCTCACGCATTAGGAAGTAGCATTACCCAGCGTACGTGTACGTATAAGCCATATACCACGCATCGGATGCTAAGAAGCAAATACACGGTGATCCAGAGCAGCTGAGCGGATGCAACAGGTATACACACACACGAAGGTGGGACACCGCTTGTGGAGGGGAGTGTGAGAAAGGATTGGTCGAGACTGAAGCTGGGCCAGCTGCAAAAACTGACTTCTTTTCACAGAAATCACACACTTCACCTGGAGCTTTCCAGAGTTGATTCAGTTACCAGTACTTGAAGCTGGGGGGTCTTTGGGCTAGTGTCACTGTCGTCTACCCGTCTACCGTATACCGAGTACCGTTGTACTGGAAACTTCTTGTCTTAGTGCTTAATAAGCTTGCGTGTAAGTATAGGTTCCTACCTCACTTCACATCCATTCTGCCCCGATGTCGTCGGCAGGATTCGAGCGCAAGCAAGAAATGTCCCCAGCTGCATCAGGAGGAGCCAAGGAGGACGCCGAGTGCGCAGGCTGCTCCCGCGAGTCGACGGACCGCGAAATGACCGGTAGCGCAACTCTCTGTCGGCGGTCGCCGGCGGTAGGCCGCGGTTTACCGCGGTTGATTCTACAGTGGATTGTTTTACTGTCGCACATGTATTCTACGGAAGCCTTGTCAGAGTTACGCCATCAGCTGACGGACACAAGCGTAAACACGGTAATATAATTTTATAAAGTGCAATTTGTTTCCCCTTGATACCTACTTTATTGGAAATTCCACCCATATATTTTTTACAAACCCTGAAGTTCATGACCCACAATATGCTCAAATATCGAAGAGTTTGAGGGCATGCAAATCGTAATTTGGCCGGCGTAGGCAATTTCGGACCGATTTGCTGACCCTGTCTGCCATGCATGCAGCCATCTTGAGCCTGCAACTCTTTAAATAAATCCCTTCGAGGAGATTATAGTATAGAAGCAGAAGCAGAAACATGTCTATGCTGTTTCCAAACTTTTCTTTCCATCATTAAAAAAAAAAAATGTACGTGCATGGCGCTCCATAGCCTTAGAAGTATCAGTGGTCCATGGCCTGGCCATGTGCCTCAGACGATTTCCTTCCACCACGGTTTGACATCCGGTGACGTAATGTTTTCCTTTAAAACACTAGAAAGACCGTGGGAATTAATATTGTGGTATGTTGACCTTGTATACCAGAGGATATTGGAGCAAGGATTAACTAAGAAACAATCGAATCTTTTTTTTTCACTTGACACTATATCTTGGGTCTTTGATAGTATTAATTTTCCATATACGGAGTCTTATCTGAAGTTGGGTCCGGCCCCAAGCGGTCGACTTGTTCTTTTTTTTCAAGGCAGACTATAATCATAAAGAAGAGGTATTTTTCTGTGAGACAATAGGTGATAATAAATGGTTTGCCTTCTTTGGTGGTTCATCTGAAGAACGACTTCAGCAAATGCATATTTCTGGTCTGAAAACTTTGGAATTGATTTTCGGGTCGTCTTGTCCTGTCATGCCTGTCTGTGTCCTGATATAGTCAATGTCGATACTTCCATTCAGAATTTATACATTTTTCTTAATGAGTATGATGTGCCAGTGTATGGTATAAACATATATGTAAATATGTGATTTGTCACGCGAACTGGTTAATTAGAAACCCACGAGTGCCACGAAGTGAAATGAAGAAAGAATAACATGAGGTTAATATATTGTTTTAGTACATGTATACATTAAAGATGTCCGTATGAAGTTTGTTAAAATATATTTATACCGGAGTCTTATATAGCGCACGTGTCTACCAACGATTAATCAGTGCGCTGGAAATTATGTCTATGATTGAAGACAGGTAAATGAAGTTAATGAGAAATATGAGACCCATTATGTAGCGCCTTGTACTTCAAACTGAAACTTCAATAATCAAGAGGTCTTGAACATTCTTCTATGGATTTTTGAGTGGTGTTATTATTGGAAACGAACAAAATGCACGTAAAGCAAATGATCCATTTTTTTCAGGGAAGAAACCCTTCTACTCGTGGTTGTCGATGCCGATGGTTGGCCGTCCGGGGGACATACAGCACGCATGCCATTCCGCGTGCTTGCCTCGTCGGCCCGTGTTTGGGAGTTTTATTGGCAGTATAATCACTCAGTACCCCCTGAGGGGTTTAATAGGCCCAAAAATGTCCCCACACACCCCAAATAAAAATGTCAGAATTAATTCCAAGTAGTGAATGGATGTTTGTAAACAAGGTTAACTTTGTTTTGTATAACGATATTGGAGGGGCGGAGTTACATACTGCCCCCTCGCTTTGTAGTACCGCAAAGTATTACACAATTGTAAGGTATATTGTTATTTCACTTTGTACATGGTGGCTGGGATAATTTTCCATAACTACGTCTAAAGAATGGTGGATTTTTTTTTCTCCGTTCTATGTCTCGTTCAAATCAAAAGTCAACAAGTAAATATAGGCTGACTGCATGTAATGCGGCTATCAATAATTGTTTCACCCCCCCCCCCCCCCCCGTGTGCCCATGGGTGTCGCCAGGATTTTTTTCTAGAGGGGGCAAAACATAATTTTCCCAAAAAATCTTGTATTTCTCGACATATTCTCGATTTATCAGTTTTAGAGGGGGGCAGGGACATTTTGCCCCCTCCAACCCATTAAATTTACACCACTATAACTTTGCGCCTCTTTTTCATTTCTTTTTACTCTTTTTTTTCTTCCTTCCTTTTTCTTCTTTTTTTTCTTTGTTTTTTTTCCGGGGGGGGGGGGGGGCAAGCGCCCCCCCCTTGCCCCCCCCCCCTCGCGACGCCCATGCGTGTGCCCCACCCCTCGGGCAAAATTTCTCCGACATACATACGTGGGCGCACTAGTGATTGCCTTACCATCATAATACGCCAATGGTAACAATGTTTTTGAGTGGCCAAAATACCCACCCTGGGGCATGAAAAACGTGACCAAACCCCGACATCGGACCTGGGGCAGCGGGGGAGGGACATTTTGATAGGCGCATAACTTGTGAATCGGGTAGTACTATCGTATATGATCACACAGTAACGCCTATATGAATTGCACTGAAGTGCCTGCTGTGTAAATCTCAAACCGAGGAATGGAAAGACTTCATTGTCATGTTTATTTACTGCGGGGGGGGGGGGGGGGGGGGTGGTCGGCGTTCGACTCGTGTGGCATGGTACACGGGCTCGAATCCTGAAGGGGAACATGGTCCTTGTGCTCTTGAGCAAGGCACTTTACCATTATTGCTTCTTTGTCTTCGTTTTGATACCAGACGTCTGAAGGCAGCGGTTCTCAATGGACTGAGTACGGGTCGTGGACCGCTTGCAGCAGCAGCTGTGGTTACGGTATACAGTATCAAAACAGGACTTGTTCGAATCTGAGGTAAAATCCCTGCCATTCATTTTGGTGTAATTATTACTTGTCAATAATATTATTTAAGGCAAAAATTAGAAATTGGCCGAATTTGATTAAATATAAAATACATCTGCCGTTTTTGTTGTTTCGTTTTTGTTTGTACATGGTGACTACAAAAAGGAAACCCAAATAGCAGGGCAATTTTTGTGAGGAAGTTGTGCATGTAGCACTTTCAATATCTATAGTTTATAAAAGCCCAATTAAAAAGTTTTTTTTAGCACAAGAACTATTCAAATCACTCATGTACTTTTCAAGGTACGGGATTTTAAACACAACCAGCGTTAAATTTCTGGCTACGGATCACCAAAACAAGTATCTTTCAGCAAAACGAAAACACATGCATACCTATGACAATAGACCGCTTGCAGATGCGTTCGATAATCAACGCGCGAAGGCGCGCAACGCCATGTTGTGGGACAAGCGTATATCTATCTATGCACATTTTGTCCCATAACATGGCGTCGCGCACCTTCGCGCGTCAATTATCGATCGCGTCTGCAAGCGGTCTATGGACCACTGATCTCTATATAAAGACTGGATAGCTAATAAAGAGCCGCACAATGTACGAATTTGACGCCATATTGGTGAGACCGGCTGGTGATCTACAAAGGACAAGTTGCCGTCTTTATAGACAGCTTGATTTCTTTTGTAACGTCGCGGCTCACTTGACTTATATTTTGACCACCACCACTGACCAACTGACCAAGGTTTACTACAATTTTTCTAACGTAGTGGTTACTTTTATAATGCCGCAAATCACTTTTTCGGCGTTTTTTGAAATAATAATCACTACGGAAATGTGTTCCTTTTAGAACATCATAATATGTGTACGTGACCAAAATGCGCGTCAACTGTTGATACAACGCGCGCGTATTTACGCGTAGAACGTTCGTATTATACGCGGCCATCTTCGTGAGACCGGGGGCGAATTGGTCAATATGCAAAGTCTACTGTGTGAATGTTGTATGCATATCCGCTATCCAGTCTTTATATAGAGATCAGTGCTATGGACGGATCCAGTAAGCACCGCCCCATGGTATTCTGACCAATCACAGCCGTGATTTATGTCCGACATGCGTGCACAAAAATCCGACATGCGTGCGCGTGCACGCGCGTATGATGCGCGCGGCAGGAAAATGCAGTGTGTGGCAGTGGAGAGGAGCATGTGTTAATTATTTTGTCCACGTGCGCAGTGTGGGAGGGGCTTACTGGATCGGTCCATTGTTTTCGTTTTGCTGAAAGAACGCTTTCTGGAAAGAACTATAGTAATTAATTTGAAAAGTATACGTGAGTGATTTGAATTACTTTTGTACTAACAGAAAGCTTATTAATTGGGCTTTCATAATTATGATAGCTTTTGAAAGTGCTACATGCAGAAATTCATTTAAAAAAATGGTCCTGCCGTATGGGTTTCTGTTTTTTCTCACTCACCCTGTAAACGTTTGAACTGTATCTCATTATGATTTGAGACATAATTTCAAATTCTACGACTATAAAGTTGATGAACTGGCAATTTAGCCCCCACATTAAGAATAATTTCAGAGGATTTTAACGAATTTCCTAACGAGTAATTGTTTTATAATATAGGTACAATTCGTCAGCAGAACAAATTATAAAGTATTTTTGCTTTCGATGTGGCATAGTTGTTGGTTTTTTTAAAATATATTTGTATAAATTTCATAATTTTGTTAATGATGTAATTTTATTTTAATACCAATTTCATTAACTCAGTATTCCTTTGGCTTACAGAAATGGATTTATCGACGCGAGATTTTGCGTTGGTTCCGACAGGCGGTACAGAATCTGTAAAACGGACGTTGCACAGGTATGGCCTGGAAAAAGTCTCCGGTTTCTGGTATGAAGCTTGCCCCAAAAAATAGTGCGGCGACGCGGTTTTTTGTTCTTTTTACACAACTTTGTTCAAATGTCGGCTGATTGCAGATGACGCTTCGATCCCCTTAAAATTAACTCAAAATATCCCTCAGAGTGCAGCTTGAGGTGACCTCAGTAAGGCCGTAAGGCTTGAGAATATATTGAGCTAATTAAAAAGCGTTTACAGGTTTCAGATACGCGACCATTGCTCCGTCAGTCTGGCTTCCAGACGCACAATTACAAAATTACAACACTACATCTGCAAATGGTGCCCGTCTAAGTTTAGTGCAAAATATACAATGTATTGGAGCGCTAGCGCAGAGAGGCCACATCGTAACCCCATCTAAAAACACGTTAAAATTGTGCAGGAGCAGGATTCCAGTCAAATCAGTGAGTTTGGCGGTTTTGAGACATCATGTTACATTGAAAAAAAACCTTTTCAAATTTGCCAACGGGCATGGCTACGGCTAATTGTGATAGGATTAAAAAATAATGTATTATATATAATTCAAGTTTGGCAAACATTATAGCAGGCTCGTTTTGAATTAATGTGATGCCTTGAAACCTGAAAGATTCGCATGTACAAAATGTATATCTACCCCTCCTACTATAGGAGTAGAAACATGACTTTGTATATCGCCATGTTTACGAGTCCACATCCCGTCATATACCAGTTTGACAATATAATGATACTCTTTACAAAATTTTGTTACATTTTTCAACTTACCGATACTGAACCGGAAACCCCTGTCCGCTGATGAATCGAAATTTGCGACGCTACTTTTGTAGTTTTGCACAACAAAAGTATAATGACTATTGTTTGTTGCCCTAGCCTTGTCAAAGTTACATGGGATTCCGTGCCCAGATGTGCTCAGAATACACAGAGTTCGGAGTTCAGTGGAAGCCCTACTTGAGTCCTTCAGGTCAGTTTTTGTTTGCTTTTAATCTCTCTCTAAAAAAAAAACAATTAAACTCACCCATGTAGTTACATTTACTTAGTTTTTTTTCTCTCGGAGAGATCATCTTTGAGCATTTTTTTGTCAATTGCGGGCGCCCCGTTAAAAACACGTGTGGCGCGCCAGCATGCAGCAGCGCGCGCTGGATGTTTACGTTACGTGTGTGTCTCTTCATTCATGTCGTTTGTGTTACTGTTAGGCGTGTATATGTGAAACAATAGGATATTTATGTGGGTAAGTGGTCCCATAATAATGCAGAGTAGGCAAGTATAACAAGAACATATTTGGCACGAATGCAGCAGGCACATGATCCACACGCCGCGCCACTTATTTTATTTTGTTGTGTACAAAGTTTATGGCATTTTCAAGCGCTCGTGGGGGTGGCATTCTGGGCGATCGTGTAGTGTAGGGCCCCTGTTTTGTTTTGATCAAATTAGAGTCAAGATTATTTGTTTATTTCTCAAAAATGACCTTTTCAACCTAAAGCAGACTTCTCTCAATATTGACATCCTTTTTGTAATTTTTGAACAGTTTTTTGGGGGTAGAAATAACAATTTTCCTGCGCTGTTTATGGTTGGTGTCGTGCGATTCAGCTGCCTCGCGCACTCACCGTACATGTGTGGTGTCGCCATCTTTATTTGTGTGTTGCCTTTTGTCCTCGTACATTTTGTCATCGTCATTTTACCCCCAAATTTTCCTCAAAAAATTCAAAACCCTGCCCTTTAGTCACAAATTCATGATTATTTCTAAACAATACTTGCAATGAACATGATGAATGACAATCGTGAATATGGTAAAAAATGTTGTATAGGCGGCCTAGACTGTTTGTTTTTTAGTGTAATACAAAATTGTATTTAAATTTGTAGTTTCGGCCCAGTTTTCAATTGTCCCTTCTTTTGTTTGAAATTCCAGTGGGCCCTTGCCAAGTGTCTTGCTATGCCACCGACGAAACCAGACCAGTCTTCCGAATTCTGGACCAGTGGCTGCCGAACGGTACGCCATGTGCCAGCTACAGCGGTTGTGATTGGTGGAATCGGGCCGGCCGATCGCAGGGGATTTGCCTGCAGGGTCAATGCTCGGTGAGTCGGTCGACACAATTATAAGATATTTAAAAAGAAAGGATGGGAACAAACTAAAAATTGGGAATTGACCCTTCCTGTCAATCTAGCAATGCTCATCGACCAATCACATCATTACTTACGGTCAGGTGACCATGGTAGCTCAATGAAATTATTGGAACCAATTTACAAAATGTTATCATGAAAATGTTCATTTTCCAACTCGCCCACTTTGAAGGTTGCCCCACTTTCATTTTCCGATATTAAACCCCTCCACTTTTTGACCAGGGGTGGATCTTTGGACATAGGATAATTTCCCCCTCCCCCCCCCCCCTTCAGCCTACAGTTTTTGTTGTGAGAAACAAAAAATGCTGATTATCTAACTTTGAGGTCAAGGGCACAAGTTATATGATGTGCACATATTTCATGTACTGCAACCTGTGGTGCGTGCTGTGGCCATGCGTGTTGTGCCCTTGAGTAAGGCGCTTCACCTCGAATACTCCTCTTAGGTATAGCAGACCAGTAAATAAACTTCATAGACCCCAATGGTAAATGCTCCCACTTCAAAAATTCGGGAAAAATACTTACAACTCTCCAAGGTGTTCGAGACACACATCAAATTAAAGCTTATTTCATCATCTTTCATTTTCTGTTCAATTTACGGGGGGTCAACTGATGACTTTTAGGAGAAATTTCAATCTGAAGACGATCACCCCTGAAAATAGTCCTAAAGCCCATCGCCATTTTGAAAACCGATGCCTACACTCCATTGCAAAATAGAGCGCTTTTAGGGTCTAAATTACATCCAATTTACACAGAACTACAAGTTCACAGTCCTGTGCACGGCTTCCACCCATATTTTTTACAAACCCTCAAATTCATGGTACACAGCATGCTCAAAACCGAAGATTTTTAGGGCATACAAATCGCAATTTGGCCGGCGCAGGCAATTTCGGACCGATTTACTGGTCTGCACCCTCTTAACCCAAGTTTTAAATGGGTACCGGCATTATCCAATGCTGGGAAGGTAACAGACTCGCTGTTGAGGAGGTGTGGCAATCCCCCCACAGCAGCAGCGTTACATTGAGTCTGCTCCAGTAGTGGTGATAGCGCCCTCATGAGCCCACGGCGATTCGCGCCGTCCCCATTTCTGGTGTCCGTCTTCTCAAGATGCATGTTGCATTTTGCTTTAAAAATATCTCCTTCACTTGACAAGTTGGTGTTGCAGTCGCAGCAGGAGTGAACCCCTGTCCTTAAAGGGAATGTACATCATTGGCTTTTGCTGTAATTTTCAGAAATGAACTATTTGAGAGGTTAGTATAATAGATCAAATATTGTTACACTGACATTTTTGAAATTTGGTGTTCCAAAAGGTTGGAAAAACCAAGAAAAACAAAAATGTTCAAGTAGTCTGGTTCCCTGACTCCACAAAAGATAAAATGGATCAGTTTATAGATGATGGGAAATTGTAAGGCAAGGGAACCAGTCTAGCTGGCCTGCACCCGTTCATGACCATGTAACCAATAGCAAACAAAATTTGGACTGAAAAAAATGGTAAATTTGGAGCAGTAGTTGAAAAATAGTTAGGTTTTTCCAACGCTGGTCGACCGACCACCGTTGGAAATGTTTACAAAAATACCATTTTCTTGAAAACGACTTCACACCAGGTGCCATAATTTTACAAGATGCTTGAGACTGTCATTTACCAACATCCTAGTAGGGTATTTCGTAAAAACTTGGTAGTTTTATTTTTCGATGTTTGCAAATGTTGTATATTCCCTTTAATACTGGCGCCGGCCCAATCCCTTTGAAAGAAAGATGGGTATTTCGTCCTGTGAACTCAGGTCCGTCCCTTTTAGTACCTGTCCTGTAATGGCCCATTGTTGTGGGGTCCCCCTTCCCATTTTTCGAATTTCCACAGCCAGGAAACTTGAGGATTTTTGGTCATCCCCTTCCCTTCCACCCCGCACTGACACAGATTTAGACCACTGGTTTTGCCCTTTATCTGCAGGATGTTGGTTGTGACGGAATCGTTAACTCCACCAAGGTTCTGGACGCATGCGGCGTTTGTGGTGGGGACCGGGCAGGTTGTCGTGTCGTCTCCGGCAAATTCTCAGAGATTCAACAAGATGGTGAGCATCGTTTTTAAAATCCGGTTTAAATTTCAATCTAATATCAGTTCATTCTGTTAGTGGCTAAGTAACATTTGTCTAAAGAGGGCTACAATATAATTATTAACCCTTACTCTCTGAGGGTAGTTTACTGCATGTCAGTTGGTTATGCCAATGCCCTCCAGCTGCAGTTTATTGGCAGATAGTTTGTCTTAACAGTGAAGGCTCCAGTTGGCAGGAGTTGGAGGCCCTGGAGGGTGCCTGATACTGACCAGCTGGGGGCACTCACTTTGTTATCAGAGGACTCTCATTGTTCTCTGTGGCATGTATTGGAGTGCCTGTCCAGTTACCCTTGAAATGACATGGCAGATATTGGAGGGCCGTGCAAAAAACATAGGAGATTTTCTTGAGGCACATATTGGCATGCGTTGGAGGGTCTAGTAGGGTAAGGGTTAATCTCAACCGATTTGTACAATTTGAAGATAAAAAGTGGAGACAAAAATCTCAATTTTCAAAGAGGCTTGGGGAAATGGATTTGGCAATTTCAGAGCTTACAAAATTGGAAATTATTATTAGTATAAATTATTATTAGGCGAAGTAAAAAAACCAACAAGTTTCTCGCCCCCGCCCGCTTCCTTTTTGGAGGCCGCCTGGATTTTTTTATTATTTTTTTATTTTTGAAAAATGTAGTAGAAAAACTCCGAAAAAGTCTACAAATTCATCGGAAAATAAATACCAATACCAATACAACTCTAAATGACACTGTAAATATGTTCAGTTCTCTTATCCAACTTGTCTTTCATCTTTAAAAGTGTCTTTGAACAGTGGAACACCAACGGTTGCAGGAAATTTTGAAAAGGCGGTCATCTTGAAAAAAATAAAAAATAAAAAGCCCTGCTTCCTCCCTTTTTTCAAAAACCCCGGACGAGAAACTATTTTTTTTTTTACTCGGCCTTATAATTAATTATTATTATTGTAAAGCATTAACTAGTTCACGTCGGATGACGAGTATACATGCAAAGGTATTCACGCAAAGGTATTCGGAACGGATGACGGATAAATACGCAACGAGCGAGGCAGGAAATATATGTCACGACCCGTTCACAGCAAGCGAGGCCGGAAAGCTTGTGACTTGACTTCGGACTGGATGGCTTCTGATGGACCTATGAGGGATAACAACACTGATTGATTGCATAATTTCAGCGCTACTCTTTTGTTGTTTTTGTTTCAGTTTACACAGAGGTGGTCGAGATTCCAGCAGGTGCCTTCAACATTAGGGTCTACGAAATGGAGAAAACCAGAAATCACTTGGGTATGTTTGAAAATAAAAACCAACTTTCCCCTGAGGAATACGAAATACTCAAAATAGTCACATGAAATGTATTTATTTTATCTTTTTTTTTCTTGTAATGTAAGCAAGGGTTGCTCAAAAGTGGTCTAGGCACTGTAGCTCGCAAGCCTGGAGAAACCTGTAGAGAGGAGACAGTGATAAGAAATTACAGTTTTAGAGGTGGGAGGAAAAGCCCAGAAGAACATTCTGGGTTAATCCACTGAATCTGAACACCCAATCCACATGTGGACCAGGGCAGGAATCGAACCCGGACCACAGCGGTGGAAGGCGAGGAAAGTAACCACCGCACCAACCGGACTCCCTATAAATGTGATACTTGATGACATAATCCTGATGTTATTGTCTGTCAACTCTCATCCCACGTCATTTTATTTGGGAATTGTTTAAAACAGGGGCCAGAATTGTGCGTTGAACAAAAAACTTTGTTATCGTACCGAAAAAGAAATGGAAAAATATACAAAATCTGAACAGAAACAAGAGCTGTTTCAGCAATAATCTGATATTTGCTGTAACTCTGTTTGAACTTGCAGCCATCAAGGATGAGACAGGAACACCAGTCTTAAACAGCATATTTGAAATCAGTAGCCCAGGTCGTTACGAGGTGGCCGGCACCACAGCGATCTACAAACGCTGCGGCATCAGTCGATACAGTCCTGGTCACTATGAAGAAATCAGCATACCGGGAACTACAAGTGCCAAGATTATCATTTTGGTGAATTCCTTAACCTCATTCCGAACCTCCCACCACCCCCACCTGCTGCGCCACTTGCACCCCCCCTCCCCCCCCCCACTCATCCCAAACTCCAACCCCTCACCGCCACCTCCACCGCCAACCCCAAGCCTCCCTCTGCCATCCACCCCCACCAACCAACTCACCATTAAGCCCATCCCCCTCACTCCCACCCCTACCCTGTCCCCACCCCACCCTACCCTCACCCCACCCTACCCTCACCCCACCCCCACCCTACCCTCACCTCACCTCACCCCCACCCTACCCTCACCTCACCTCACCTCACCCCCACCCTACCCTCACCCCACCCCCACCCTACCCTCACCTCATTTCACCCCCACCCTACCCTCACCTCATTTCACCCCACCCTACCCTCACCCCACCCCCACTCTACCCTCACCCCACCCCCACTCTACCCTCACCCCACCCAAACCTACCCTCACCCCAACCTACCGTCATCCCACCCCAACCCCAATCCCAACCCCATCTCACTCGCCCACACCCACACCCCCACCCACTCACACAATTGTTTAAAGACCTTCAATCATGGACCCCCTATTGTCCCTCTTTTGTTTGTACTAGAACCTTTTAGGAAGACCTGCCATATGTTTTGTACCAGATCGGGAATTCTGGAATTGTGGACCCTATTGTCCTCTATTGTTCAACATCCCCTATAGAATGCAAAAACAAACCCACCCTATAACCCACCCCTACCACATCCCTCACCCCAACCACTGATCTCTATATAAAGACTGGATAGCGGATATCCATACAACATTCACACAGTAGACTTTGCATATTGACCAATTCACCCCCGGCCTCACGAAGATGGCCGCGCATAATACGAACGTTCTACGCTCATATACAGCGCGCGTTGTATCAACAGTTGACGCGCATTTTGATCACGTACACATGTTATGATGTTCTAAAAAGGACACATTTCCGTAGTGATTATTATTTCCAAAACGCCGAAAAAGTGAACTGCGGCTTTAAAAAAGTAAACCATGTAAACCAAAAGTAAACCGTTGTAAACCTTGGTCAGTGGTGGTGGTCAAAATATAAGTCAAGTGAACCGCGATGTTACAAAAGAAATCATGCTGTCTATAAAGACGGCAACTTGTCCTTTGTAGATCACTAGCCGTTCTCACCGGTCTCACCAATATGGCGTCAGATTCATTCATTGTGCGGCTCTTTATCCGCTATCCAGTCTTTATATAGAGATCAGTGACCCCAACCCCCAGCCCAATCCCCACCCACTGTCACCACATCCCCACCCGATAGATGTTGTTTCAACTTGAGACCATGAGTGATAAAACAATTGCAAAACAAAAATCAGGCCAAGTAACTTACCATATTGTCAACATAATTCTCCAATGTATTTCCAATGCAATACTTAAGGAGAATTTCACAAGTTTTAGGTCTTAATTCCAATTTATAATTTTTTTGGTGAACAGCTCAGAAAAGATGGTGTATTCAGTAGTCTGGTGGCATGATTGTGTAGAGAGTATATTTAATTTTACACTTGGTACCAGACATTTTATTGGACGTATTTCAACCAATACCCAAGCTTTGGCTTTTTTTGGTCTCCGTTATTTTATGCGTGGTTCTTTATTCGATATCCCTGCAGATGGTGTATACACGAAAATATTCACAGGCCAACATCGCTTACCGATACAGTCTTTCATTGCCAAGCCCAAAAACACTTTCCACATCTGCAACGCTTACAACAGCTACCACTTCGGAAATACCAGACGTCATCACAGACTTGGGTACTACGTTAAGGCATGATGGGGAAGATTCAACCGGTTCCCCGCGTGTGGGAACAGGGAACCAGGATATGCACAATGTAGTGGCTGTCAAGACGCTGTCGTACAGGGACGATGAAGTACAAGGTACCGATGAAGTGCAGGGTTCCGACGAACAACTGCCGTCGTTCCCCCAGGAGGATAGCACCGTCGCCAATTCAGGCCGCAGTGCAACTCCAACAGCACAGCAGAACACATCCGCAGAGTTTAAAGAACCTACGATTGTGGGGAAGACGGAAAGTTATCTTGAAATTCAAAACGTATCCCAGGAGTTTCAGCAAACGGTCGATCGGACAGTCTCAGGAGAATCGCATGTGAACTTCCTCCCCTGGAGCCAAAATTCAAGTCTGCATCAGGGGAAGCCTTCGGTGCTGGATAATCCCGTCGGTGTGTTTTCAGAAACTCAGGAAAGAGTTCTATGGGAATTGGACGGTGATCCTGAGAGGGAGGAAGATATTTTACCAGTATTAGAAACATCTGGATATCTTGACGATAATCAAGGTGAAACAACCCTTGAGCCCACATCAGGATACCCCAGTAGCAACAGCCGTCTTCCCGAGAATAGCAGTCAAGTTATTTCAGACACTGCTGAATCGCATTTTCCCCTGGAATCAGAAGAGCAAGCTAGTTCAACCGTGGCAAGCACTAGCCCGAGCTCTTCCCCTACCAGCGGGCAAATGCGCTCTTTCGAAAACGACCTTTTTGGGGATGATGATCTCCTGTACATAACTCAACAAGATTCACGGACGTCTGAGCCACCGTCTGTGGCCACGAGTATACCCCCGACCCAAACTGGGAGAACAGTCACAGCAGAAGAGCCAGAGGACTCTCAGGATTTTCCATGGAAATATGTTCCTGGTATCCCGGACTCTTCGGAGCTTCTGTTTGGGGAGGTGCCACAGATTATGGAACTGATCAACCCTTCCATGGAGAGCCAGGAACCGGCTCTGCAGCCGTCAGCGGCTGCATCTACGGCTGCCATCGTATCCAGAGGGGATATCCCTGAAGAGGAACGGACGGTCAAGCAGCGATACTTGTGGGCTCGGACTGGGGTGGCTCCATGCAGTGCCACTTGCACAAGAGGTACTTAACAGGCAGCATCCAGAAACCAGGATTGCAGAGTTGTAATCACAAGTCGGTCACAAGAGAATCACAAATTAATCACAAGTCAATTCACGAGTCCAGCCACAATTTAGGCGATTCACAATGCAGTGCACCACCAAGAGTTTGCCACGGAGAGTTCATTTTTCCCAGTGCATTGTGGGAGATGGTCGACACATTCGCAGCGCGGGACATTTGAAATTGTTTTCTTTTTTCCGGTCAGTAGCTTTGTGAGCCTATGATTCGAGTATAGATATTTGCCCTTCTCTTTTCGTTTATTAAAATGGTGTTTTTGTAAAGGTGGCAGAACGCTATGCCCCAATCTATAACAAACTAGCTCAAGTTGTCTAATGACACTCGTTCAAATGGGCCAGGTTTTGTTGATGGTAAACTTGAAAAATGGACTCTCCATGGCAGCTCTTGGTGACACACTGCATTGTGCATCGCCCGAATCGACAATGGCAATATGGCAAAGGAATGCATTTTTCACAGCTCACTTGAACTGTTGTGACATGACTTGAGACTGTCGCTAATAGATCTTGTGATTGACTTGTGATTGACTTGTGATTGACTTGTGACTGACTTGTGATTGACTTGTGATTGACTTGTGATGACTTATGATGACTTGCGATTGACTTGTGATGGACTTGTTATGACTTATGATGACTTGTGACCGACTCTATCACAATTATATGGGATGTTGTCTATAAGGCTAGTACAATGTAAGTCAGTTGATAGGGGAGTCAGTTGGTTAGTCAGTAGGGGAGTCGGTCAGTCAGTTAGTGGGTAATAATAATAATTATAGTAACTAATTCTTGTATAGTGCCAAATCCGTCAAAATTGACAAGCAAGGCCCTTCACAGAAATAAAAATGAACCAGTTAAAATTTAAGAACAAAAACTAAAAATTATACAAAGAAAAACTTTTAAAATAACTAGGTGAACAATTGAAACAAATTGTCTAAAACAGGTAGGTTAAAACAGACAGACACAGTAAAGCAACAGCGAGACGACCACGATAAAGTGACTTAGAAAAGACTTGCGCAAACAGTGGGAAACACACACCAAACGGACAGATAACAGAATTACTATTCTGGTTGATAAAAGACGGCCAAACTTTCAAGACAGACAATAAGAATGAGCTGATGGACAGACCTACAAACACATTAATGCAACAGCATGACAGCACAAGGTTAAACATTGATGCTCAAGGCGCTCTACATAAATACAAATATGTAAAATTTACTAGTTAAAGAGGTTGTGGAATGCTCGAAAACATTTCCCTCATTTTTTGGGTATATGTAGCCTAAGGTGTGATGAAATAAAAACAACTTTTGTTTCTGTCATGAAATGAGTACAAAGGGTACTTTTGAGAGCTATTTTTCAGGTCCTGTTTCGACCCGAACGTGCAATTTGTGTAAAAAGCGTCGTTGCGGGCAGCAAACAAAACACAGTAAATCGTGACGTAATAAACAGGACTCGTTTATGCTACTCTGCATCGGGAGTCCTGTTTATTACGTCACGATTTACTGTGTTTTGTTTGCTGCCCGCAATGATGACTTTTACACAAATTGCACGTTCGGGTCGAAACAGGCATGACAGGACTTGAAAAACAGCTCTCAAAAGTACCTTTTGTACTCATTTTATGACAGAAACAATAGTCGTTTTTATTTCATCACACCTTAGGCTACATATACCCGAATAATGACGGAAATGTCTTCGAGCATTCCACAACCTCTTTAAAATTTAAAATACATGTGTTGGGAGTCAGTCAGTCTGTTGGTAAGACATCAATCGGGCAGTCAGTCGGGGTTACAATAAGTTGGTCAGTCAGCCAGTTGCTTGGGCAGAGGACAACAAGCTGACCCTGCAGGTCCAGCAAAACACTGATCACTACTTCAATCCATATTTTATTTTTTCTCAAGGAATGAGTCGTACTTACGCCTACTGCACACTCAACGGAGAGCAAGTTCCTGATAACTTATGCGACCCAGCGTCCAAGCCCGAAGTTGTAGAAAGGGAATGTGGCGGAAAAACGTGCGAAACAAGGTCAGTGGACAGCGCTTGAACTAAGCGTATTATTTATGATTAATTATGGTGTTTTGAAAATGCAGTTTTGTGGTTCGTGCATTCTTTCCTATAATGTCATGGCACCGGTCTAAGCCTCATGCTGATTGCCATAGACATGCATTCAAAGTCCAAAGATGACTGCAGATAACGATAGTCTTGCACCCAACCTCTCTTCATCAGATGGGCAGTGGGAAGTTGGAGTCAATGCACGGTGTCCTGCGGTACGGGAGCCGTCTACCGCACCGTCCACTGCTGGTTGATGATAGCACCAGGGCTGGATACCAGTATCAGCAACTCATATTGCAGCCAGTCTAACGTTCCGGAAAGTGTGCGTCCCTGTACTCTGAGTCCCTGCGGCCCACAGTGGCAAACATCTGATTGGTCCGAGGTCAGTTTCAACCGAGAAATTTGTATCAATTTTTACCTCATCTTCCATTTAAAGGGTCCATTAATTAACCCTCACCCTCCAAAATCCTTTAAAAACATTACATTGCATGGGCCCTTTAGCCCTCCTATGTGGAAACATGCATCTTGTGCCAAGTTGTCTGTCTTTTCAGTCAAAATCAATCAAGTGACTGGTTTTAACAGTTAAGAGCTCCCAGCCCACATAAAGCGGGATTGACTGGCTGTGACTGTTTATGTAATTTGATGCAGCTGTGCTTTGACCGTAGGTGATTGATAAGCCAGCTGTGCACTCCACTAGTCTGCTTTTGTCTGTTGACTGAATTTGACTAGTCGCAGTGCTCCCTGGAAATGCATGATCTGACTTGGTGATTAGCCTGTGTCAAGAGCATGGCAGGGGAAGGGAATTGATTTTTGACTGTCTGTGAATGTTCAGATAGCTGGAGGGTTCATGGATCACGCAGATAACAATTGGGCAATTAAACACGGGACCAAGACATTCAGATCACTTCACTCGAAAAGTAACATGACTTGGTGAGACTGGCACGCTCTATTGCCAGATTATTCCATATTTTTGATTTTATTGTTGGGCTGTAGTGCTCCGTGCAGTGTGGTGAGGGTGCGCAGACGAGAGAGGTGCGTTGTTCAGTAGAGGGAGCCACATGCAACCCAAGCATCAAGCCTGCGGCAACTAAACGCTGCTTGCTTCAGGCGTGCCCAAGTCAGTGGACGACATCGCAGTGGACCCAAGTAAGTTGCAAGTGTTTCGTGGCTTCGCAAAGTTTGTTTTGTGTTTGTTTTCTTTACTTTTGTATTGTTTTATATATATTCATGAATAACTAAAACAGTTTACCCATTACTAGTGGTCATCAAGAGCCCGTCAATATTTAGAAGAGTCAGTTTTTGACTGAACACATCACAATTTTGCACCTGGCTTAACCCTGGTATGTGGTTTTCTTTTGGTTGGTCTGATCTATTCTGTGCAGTGTCAAGGCCCATGCACCGTTCAGAATCGTCGAGTCGATTGCGTCAATCCGAGAGGAATTATCGTAACGGACAAGAATTGCGCAGCAGACAGCAAACCGTTATCCCACAGACTGTGCGGGGAAGCCTGCCCCGCTCAGTGGGTGGCTCAGGGCTATGGACCAGTGAGTATACCAAGAGGGTCATTGTTAGAAAACTGTTAAGTGCTAATTGTTGCTGCTGAGTGCTAAACACTGCTGCTGAGTGTTAAATGTGTCGGCTAAGTGCTAAATATTGCTGCTGAGTAATAAATATTGCTGCTGAGAGCAAAATATCTCAGGTAAGACCTAAATATTGCTGCTGAGTACTAAATATTGCTGCTAAGTCCTAATATTGCTGCTGAGTGCTAAATATTGATGCTGAGTGCTAAATATTCCTGCTGAGTGCTTAATATTGCTGCTGAGTGCTGAATATGTCTGCTGAGTGCTAAATTTTGCTGCTAAGTGCTAAATATTGCTTTTAAGTGCTAAACATTCCTGCTGAGTGCTAAATATTGCTGCTGAGTGCTAAATATTGCTATTGAGTGCTAAATATTGGGTCGCTCAGAGCTATGGACCAGTGAGTATTACAAGAGGGTCAATGTTACAAAACTGCTTAGCACAAAATTCTGGTGCTAGTTAGGCCACATATGAATTGCTTATCTACGGCTTGAAAATTACACACGCGCCTATGGTAGCAGCTGCAGCCTCTTCCCAAGTAATTCTGAACTGGCTATTAGAAAGAGAATAAAAACGTTTGTTGTACTTCAATCGATCATTCAGTTGACAAGTTATGGCTGTTTAAAGTTTGCACTTATTGACACATCTGAAAGAAAAATACAGAGAAAGGGGCCTTAAAGTTTCAAGTTTTAGAGTCATTCAAATGAAAGATATTTAATGTCCTAAAATAAAAAGCGCTTTGAGGCCCAAAAAAAAGTCTCCGGTTTCTGGTATGGAGCTTGCCCAAAAAGTGGTGCGGCGACGCGGCTTTTTTTTTTTTTTTACCTGATTTTTTTGCTTCAAATGTCAGCTGATGACTGCAAATGGTGCCTGACTAAACTTAGTGCAAATATATGTCCGGAGAGGCCACATAAAGCTGATTCTCGACCATAACCCCATCTAAAAACACGTTAAAATTGTGCAGCAGCAGGATTCTAGTCAAACCAGTGAGTTTGGCGGTTTTGAGACATCATCTTTCATTGAAAAAAACCTTTTTCATTTTGCCGATGCGCATGGCTACGGCGACGCGCGCGCATACCAGAAACCGGAGACTTTTTTTTTTTGGCCTTATTCCACACGTTTTATAGTATTTCTTTGAAATGTGCGATCTAGACTTGTCAAAGGCTATAAATTGCAATAAATCTGAAAATCAAAAAAGAATCTATTTCACTGTGGCCTCTGCCCAGTTCCATCTCATTTTGCAAGAACGCCTCATCACAGTTGTCTGTTTTGTTTCGCAGTGTCTTGGGGAGTGTGGATCCACCACTCGTCAGCGACGAGTGGTCTGCGCGGCCACCAGCGCCGTCAGCGGGCACATGCAGGTGCTGGTGGACTCGGTCTGCAGCGCGTCTCCGAAACCCAGCAGCGAGATGAGCTGTGAGCTTGTCAGCTGCCAACAGCAGCGGCGAGTGACGCGGCGACGACGGCAGACACCGCAGTGGTTGACAACTCCGTGGTCTGTGGTAATGCCCCTGTCAATATTTCTCAGATCTCATCGCAGCACAAAGTTTTTCATGCCAAGTTTTGTTTTAGTTTATAGATTAATCAGGGGTGTAAAATCTCAGCTCTAAAGGGAAGGTACAACATTTGCAAACATCAAAACAAAAAACAAAAATTATTACATAATTCTTTACTGGACTGTTAGGGAATGACAGTCTAACGCATCCTGTAAAATCATGGCTCCTGGTGCGCTGACATTTTTAAGTAAAGTGGTATTTTTGTATCAATTTCCAATGCTGGTCTGCCGACCAGCGATGGAGAAAACTGGCTATTTTTAAAAAACTGCTCATAATTTTTCATATTTAGTTTTTCCGCATTTTCTTTGCAATTGATTACACACCTGTAAAGGGGTACAAGCCAGCTAGATTGATTCTCTGACCTTATAATTCCCCAACATCTATAAATTGCTCCGTTTCATCTTAAGTGGGGTCAGGGAACCAGACTACAAGAACATGATAGGTTTTCTTGGTTTTTCCAGCATCCACGAACCCAAAACGTGAACAAGTCAGTGTAACAATATTTGCTTTAACATACTATTTCTCCAAATCCATTTATTTCTGAAAAGCAAATGTTGTACATTCCCTTTAAAGCTGATGTAACTTTTTTTTGGTTTTGGATTCCACTTTTTTTCCTCACTTGCTGTGTACGAAAGGATAGGAAATTTCCAAAGTTCAACTTTTTTACACACCTTTTTCAGGTGTGTTCACCTCTTTTTATATCAGTGGTCACTTAACACCCCTGATTTATGTCTTGGAATGGTGTGAAATCAATTTCAAATTTTGAGCCACTTAAAGGGCCCATAAAATGAATTTTTCTTATGCCTGGTTCACACATTCCCAATTTTTAAGCCGAATCGCTGCAGATAGCAACTCTTGAGTAAATCGAGGAAAGCATATTCCTCGCTGCCTCGGAATGATTCTGTTAGTTTGGTGAAAGATCGTTAAAGATCGGGAAGCACCCCGACAATTTGGGACATGTTCAAAATTGTCGGGGTGATTTGGAAACCAATCTCAATTCTTGGTTTATTCTTGTATTCATAACTAATTCTGGATATTCTTACGGCATTCTTACAAGTTTTTGTGTGAACAGTCCAGAATCACGCCGAATCAATACGAAGGTATCAAGAAATGTAAAAATATTATGAGAATAACTTACAGATACACCAAATCAGCATAATTCTGACTCATTCTGGATGATTCTTGAGTTATTTGTATGCGTTTCTTGACAAAATCACTACAATTCGGTATTATTCTGTACTAAATCGAAATCGTTCAGCTTGATTCAGTCTGATTCGGCTTCCAATTCGTAGATAGTTCTTGATTATTTTTGTTTCATTCCAAGTTATTCTTACAAACAAGGAATCGGGGCAAATTTCTCCCGATGCCATCAGGAATTTTTATCCGGGATAGATCGGGGTATTCGTGGCAATGATTTGGGAATATGTGAACCTAGCATTAATAAGTTAATGTTTTGTGCAACTTTCTAAGTACTCCTCTTGTATGGGAACTATAAAATTAAAAATTGTCCATGCTGTTCCGGACAACTGAGGGCGCTGTTGCTGTGTTGTCATTTCAGGAAGACACTGTTTATTTTAGGTTTTTCTGTGCAAATTGTGAACCCCAAATTTGCTTATTGAAAATATTTGCGAGAAATGTTGCTCCTTTGCTTTTAATCCTGCCGTGTACTAACTGACACACTTGTTGGTAAATTCTCGCACATTTTTACAAATTGTTGGGCATAAATCCATTGCAAATGCTCAGTTGTTGGGACTTGATTCAACCAAAAAATGGGCATTTTTTATCCAACAGTTAGTTAGCACAGACTTTAATAAATGACTTTCGAAAAATATTTATTTCGTTTTTCCCTCTTTATTTATGAACTCCAAACAAACAATGCAGCAACTCCTCAGTTTAGAAATAAATACATAACATAAAGATTCACAAATATCTCAATGTTTAATAAAAACACTCGTTGGATAAACAAAAGCCTCACTTCTAAATACTTCATCAAACTGAAGAGCTCAAATCAAAATTGAGAGTCAAAAGTAAATAAAATGGAAACTGTTGTGAATGCACCAAGAGCTGCTTTGCTTCGAATAAGCTCTCTCATGCCTGATGACGTCTACAAAACACATTTATCACCGTGCCTGTTTGAGTTTACAATTTTTTTCCGCTCTCAAATACATTATTTCTTTAACTTTACTTGTGGCAGGAGTTCTTTAAGCTTCTTACAAATAAAACGAAAAGAAAACAGCATTATCCTTTCATTAAATGTCTTATACTGTCGGACCTACAACAAAGCTTCCAAATTTGCAATCAAAACATAGTATTCTCTAATTCTGAGACTTTAGACAGCTTTTCTTGAAGCTATAGGGGAAGGAAACAGCAGTTTTCATGCACAAAGCACTTCATAACACAATGCCGCAGTACATAATGGGATCACTCAACCTTAATGCACCCAGCCGTGTAGCCTCCGCTCCAGTAACAACCTTTTAACTGCTATTCCCTTGTCTCCTATTCAAATCCGAACAAGTACTAACTGACCTGCAAAAGCGAGAGACGACCCTTGACATATTCGAACCCACGACAGCATTTGTGCAAGTCCAGTTGCCTCACCATTAAACTGGCATTTGCCTTGTCTCCCATTCGAATCCACCCAGTGCTCTGTGACGTGCGGAACCGGCCAGCGTACTAGAGAGATCACCTGTAATCGCAGACGGAACCAGCCTCGAATGGAATGCAACGAGAGCAAGAAACCAATCGGCACCGAGTCCTGTGCCATGGGCGAATGCCCGGCTGTCAATCCTAGTAAGAACCACAGATTTGCAAATTTCGGCCGAGTCCTAAGGCTAATGAAATAGATTACGAGTTTCTCATCACTCATTTATCAAATTTTGGTGCATTTTGTTTCCTTCACTATTCATTATTCATTATTTCTCATCAAAAAAAATGCAACCCTTTATTTGCAATTTAATTAACTTGTAATTTACATATACGTACACAAACTGCCATTTTGAAACTGATTTAGGGTCTAAATTAACCCAGAAATGTGGGTTTGGTCCCAATATTTGGTTTGGTGCCATGTCTTTATCTTCCGTTTATGAGACCGGCCATGTGACAGGCTCTCAACCAAAGGGAATGGGTAAACTGTCTTCGGTATTTATGAATATATCTTCAAAGTGCTTTTCCTTTTTTCCTTTTTTTCTTTGAAGCCTGTTCAGATAGTCCCGCAGCCGACTGCAACCTGATTCGTCGAGCCAACCTCTGTCGCTATGACAGCTACAAAAGATCCTGCTGTCTATCCTGCAGTTCCTGAAGAAAACCGACACATTTTTCGCAAGTATTGTAAAAAAAAAAAACCAATAACTATAATTTTTATCCAACTGACTTAAATTTAATTATGATCGTAAGTGGTATTTATGTAGTGTCTGAAACAGTAGTTAAAATTTTGTGAATGTTGACTTATAGAGATTTAGAGATGTATATACAGGGTGAGTAAAAAAAAAGAAACCCAAATGTCGGGACCATGTTTTAGTGACGTTCTGCATGTAGCACTTTCAAAATCATTTGGGATTTGTTTTTTTTTAACTCACCCTGTACATGGTTGGAAATTGGCCCAGAACGTAAGCTTTCACTTAGAATAATGAGCTCCATAACCCATCCTGTTCTGGAAATGTGGCATATTTGCATACTTTTACTTCCTTGGAGTTAGAATTACACAACCGAGAAAACAGGCTTTGAAATAGCTGGCTCTGTTGTAGATTTGGGCTTGATCGATGCACTCAAAATTGTGTTTTTTCCCCACTTTATTCATCGAAATCAACATTTCTGAGAATGAACCCCGAAACTTTTGTTAATGAAGATGTCATTCATGACAAGAAAAAAATGAAAATCACATTTTGACGAAATTTTCAGCCTCTTAGCGTTGAGAGGGTCATCACACGATAACACGCACAGCGCGACTTAATACCCTTTATTGTACAAAAACTTGTGGCGTCTCAAATGGAGACATTGCACTTTCGGAATTAAATAAGCTGTGTGCATTCACAGATCCTACACACAAGGATAAACGACTGTTCTGAACTGTAGTACAAAATGCACTGAGCGGACTAGCCTTAATTGGTTTAGACGTTTGATAACGGGCATTAATACTTAATGTTGGCTTGCAACTGCGAATTTTCCAGGTGTGCCATTGTGCCGCTTTTTTTGCATGACATCTAAAACGGAAATATTCATAAAATTGTAAGCAAAACTACTCCTTATGTCAAATATAATTGTTCGAAAATTGTTCATAATATACACTTCAGGAGATAACAGATGGTATTGTGCAGTTTTAGTCATCACAGATAAACTATTTACCCGGGAAATAAATGTCAAATTTTGAGGAGAACACCGCTTACCCAAATTTCGTTTTTAATTAGGCTTTCGTTAAAAAGTTTTTGAGAGACGTTATCCCGAACCGATGAAACAAAAGCGACATTTTTTTGTTCATTTTAAAGCTAAATATAATTGTGCTGGGCATTTACATGGTTATGTAGTTATCACTTATCAGAATTCAATAATAAGCCCAAAAACGAAGACTCATGAATATTCAGAAATATAATTCGCTGGCTTTACAGACTTTGACACCAGATCGGGCGCAGAGCCCTGCAAATTTGAAAGCCGCCGCACGCAGGGGTTTTTGTTGACAAGTATTCATGGTATTTGCCACCTGTATGGGCCGTTATCACGCTTCTAACCAGGAGTTAGGCGAGTCGTTAATCCTTGTGTGTAGGACCCGTGGTGTATTTCACGCCAAACACATGGCGTGCCCCCTAAACTTCGAGCTCTAGCAATTAGCAATGAATCACCATCGACCATTCATGCACTGAGTCTCCAATGTAGTTTCTATTTCCCCGTGGCCAGTAAAAAATGCAACATCACACTCAACCCCCCCCCCCCAATCCTGCCCTCCGTTCGATCCTGTAGTCCCCTATAATCAAATCATTTCTGCTAATATCCGAGGCACAACACAGTCGCCTGTGGGCAGCCAATCTCAAAACAACCCCGAATGGAAACAGTTCCGGAAAAAAAACCTGCCGTGTACAGCCTTACGCAGTGGAGAAAATTAACTTCAGAGAGTTTTGTCTGCGATAAATATTATATGAACAAGCAATGCAGGCAGTTGACCTTTTCAGAAAATTCATTGATAACAAAAATAAATTGCTTACTAACCTTTTTTTTAAGACTTATGAATTGTTTTTCTTATTTTGAAGAAATAGCAATTGCTTAATTTGAAAATAATTCAAAAAACTAATTTTTTGGCATCCAGTTTCACATTTTTCTTATATTTTATGAGAAAATCTGCAACTTTAAAAATCTGCAAAATATACTTTTCCAAAAATATAAAAAAAAATTGGAATTCACCCAAGTATGGGAATAAATATATTACACGGCAGATATTAATGATTTATGCAAATTAGGCACCCTTCCCAAAATAATTTCAGGTGTCACCCCTTATCAATATCTTCTCTGGGGCTATAAGAATCTATCTGCCAAGTTTGGTGCTTTGGACCAGTCGGTCATGATTCTGACAAGATGCCACCTGACTAATTGCAAAAAATGTACACACAAGTCAACACAAAACAGCTTATTTAACATGACCTGATGTGAAAAACTGGTGTAACTTACACAATCTTCACAAAATGAAATGATCTGTGTGTTGCGTTTTTTGTTGATACGCAATGTATAGTTGGCCATTGTATATAGTTCAACTCATCAACATTACTGCTTTCATTGACAACTTGTGTTCAGTTTCAGAAGAGTTAATGTAAATACCAACTCTGAAGGCTAAATGTTTTTTTATTCATACTTGTGGAAGACCAAAGTTAATAGTAAACCGTAGTACATTGTCACAGTCGTCAAACTAGCAATGTATTAGATTAATGTGTGACAAATGTAGTGATACATTTATTAAATGTGTTTAAATCAAATTGCTTCCTGTTTTATATGCTTCGTGTTTTTGTTTTTTTAGGACACTCGCACTTTGTTTTGATTTTTGAAGGGCCCCCTGCTGTTGTTATTGAAAAGAAAAAGTCGCAGGCAAGTTAAATAGTAGGTGTAAGTTAAAAACAGCTAGTTTCTACATGTAGATGATCGAACGTGCGTTTGTTGAAATTTAACCAATTATGTTATTTCGTGCAAGAACTAATTTCGGGGTCCACTTTTGCGACCCAAAAAAAATCGGGCTGTTCTTGCTAGTTGTGATTCCAGCCGTAAAGTGCTCGCCTTTTGCAGACGTGTAAGAAACCACATTTGTGCATTGGTGCTGTATGTAATATTTATGTGACACACACAACGCTTATCCGAATGAAAACCACAGCAAAAACGTATGTGTACTCCGTCGTGTCCGATGTAAACAACCAGGTTTTTGTTTTTTCGTCTTTTCTCGGGAACGGTTAGTCTGTGTAATAGACTGTGGCGAAAGCCATGGTCTATTACATATGAAAGATTTGCTGATTACTTAAGCGAGACAACCGTATCTTGACCTCTAGATTTTGACCAATCAGCTGGTACTTTCTGTGTCGGGCCTTCGGTCATTCACCTTTGTCGCGTCTAGACATGCATAAAAATAACCCCGCTTGACAAAACAACAAAGGCTTTTGGTCACGCGGTATTATGTTATGCGACACGCCTGAAGCTGTTGTTGCATTACAATACACTGGATTCGATTTGACCAATCACAGTTTAAGTCATGATTTGGGAATGAAATGACATCGCGATTTAGTAAAGTCGACTCCGATTGGCTGAGGTGCAAGATCGCATAAATCTGCATGCTTTGGCATATCAGACGTTATACAGGAGACTTGGCTCCGTTGATATCGGGTGATACTCACACTAGGGAACCGTAAGACATTAGGTTGCTTTCCTTTTAACTAGATGTTTGAAATAGGATAAGTAAACAATCCAAAGCATGACATTTTCGGGGATTTCAGGACGCAGTGCCCCTTTAATGACAAACACACCTAAAGCAACAGACGCACGAGGAAAAACCACAGGGCCTCATTATGCAAATGCAAACACCCAGGGAATAATTTTAATGCAATTAGGTACTCGTCATAATACACGGTGACAGTGTTGGCAAGTCGTGCCTCGAAAATCTAAGTGCACTTAAAAAATGTCAAGAGACACAATTACACATCTGACTCCTGGAAAAACAAGCTAGAAAGATTTCCATACATGGACATCACTACTTTTTTCTCTGCAATGACCTAGCAGCCATCAGAAAGCGACAGCATGTCCTAAAAAGTCAAATTTAGCAGGGAAAATATCAAAGCATTGAGAAAACAATTTTTCAGACCAGTCTCATAGGGTTTGTGCATAAGTGTCAAGTGATGTCCAGGTATGGAATTCTTTCCGAAAATCCCACTCGAAATTAAAATGTGACCAATGTCTGTAGGAAGATGTTAACAAATTGAAATTGTAGGATATGACAATCAGGTGGAAGTAAAATTAAACCAAAAAGTCGCTGCCAAATCCAAAGCAGGGGTTTAAAAGCGAAATGCAAATGATATTTCCGAAAAACTGATAAAATATGCCTTTATTTTTTAAAACTTGAAGGCTGGATAACGGGTACCAAATGTAAAAGAAAAATTGGCAGGAAATTAAGAGGAAATTGGTCAGCACAAGATGTGATACTCACTGAAATGAAATTGTCAGATTCTAAGAATTTTACTATAATTCCCCCAAAAGTATGGGGAATTGTCTAAATTTGAAATTGTTTCATTTCAACTTGGCTGGAAACGTGTGTGTTTCATATTTATGAATGCTCTTTTGAGTTTTTGAATTTGTGAGTTGCTTTTAAACTTTGCTTCGGTGTGGCTTGAACACATTTGTTTAAATCTTGCTTATTTAAAACCCGAGCTCCTTAGTACGTACACATTTTGATAGCTTATTAAAAACACCGATAAAAGTGACAATATTTGAAAAGAAATACAAGCACTTAATACTTTTCACTCAAAAACAAGTAACTTCAAAATGCTTAAAAAAAAAAAAATGGCCGTTCATCCCCAAAAGCTTTAAAGCACGCAATTAAAAATATATATTTAAAAGGTTTTCATCTCAATTCTACAAACATTAATACCATCATTAGGTGGTATTTGCAAATAACTGTTGATGGCTCTTCGCATTCAAATGACACGCCATTAATAAATCATCTGTGTTTTACAGCCACTCTGAGCCACTGAAGCACCAGTAAATTGCAAGGAAATCGCCAACAAAACTTACAAGCATACACAGTAAATTACGAGATACTAACACCACAGAACACTGCAAATGAAGAATACTTGTCGTTTTTCACCCAAACCAAACGGCCCCAAAATCAGACACGAGATAAGCCTAGGCTCACAGTATCGATTCCTCTGTCTCAAATCAGAATCAGAAATCTTGAACCTGATCTATACTTCCTTTATCTCAACGATCGTCGACCTTTAGGCATCCACAGAGACAATGCCAAACTGAAGCTCTA